TGACAAGATTTCCCGGAAATTACAATGAAAATTTGCGGGTGCAACAATAAATATTGGATGGATTATTATTTCTACACGGAGAGAAAAACACAGGAAAAATTATGTGACTAATCACGTAATCGTGGGCTGGAGTGTCATTTTCTTGTTTTTTACGGGAGAATTTGGGAAAAAATGAGAGACGAACAGTAAATTTTATTATTTGCTTTAGAAAATTTACGTGATTGTCACGTAATTTCTTACAAACTTGTAAAATTTACCACAGTTCCGGTAAAAATTATTCCGAGTAACGTAAAAATTATCCAGTTTTTTACTTAAATTTTACGTGACGTACCGTAATTTTGACCGAATTGAAAAATTCCTTGACAGCGTTGGTGGTACGACTGTTGGTCATACCCGATCGCGAATCATTCTTTATGTTCGGATCACGCCACCCGGTAAATTATTATTGTCAGAAGGATAATTAGTATATTGTGCCTCTAGGCAGTAAAGTATTTTTTGACGAAATGTGAGTATAATCACATGAGTTAGAAAATACTTTATTTCCGTGAGGTACGCGATATTTTATTCTCGTAGGGACTGGAAACTTCGATCTAACCGAGCGAAACAAGGTTAGAATCGTTTTCCAGTCCCGGCAAAATTTACGGAACTGGGTACCGTAATTTTTCTACCTCTAAAGGTCACTTTTTACCGACCGAGTGGTAAAATATTCTGAATGATCGGCACTTTTTCCGATTTTCCGTTTCGTCCCACGTTTACCTTTCACACATTCATTTTTACGGAACTTTTTACGTATTTTTTCCAGTATTCTTCTCTCTGTGCATGAACGGTCGAATTATTGTTTAAACTGAATTCATCCCATTGCGCGGAAACCTGATCATCGAATTTATTTATTTAGTATTTGACTGAGTAGCCGTTCAAGAAGACCTAGATATAACTGGAAACAATACTAATATTATTTTTCCGTGCTGCTTTTCACGATTTCTTGTCTGGGAACTGGTACTTTCCACACTCCAAAACTTCAAAATCACTACGAAAAAAATAATATCCGGATTGTTGGGATGGGTTTTTTTTGGTCGTATGGCTGGGGAATACCCGAGTGAAAAAAGCCCATCCCAACAGCCGGGAAATATACTACCTCGTTACAGAAAACAATATATGTCATACGACCTGAAAAGCATTTTCCTGACAAATTCAATTACAATTCACGACATTCATTAATTTTGGACAGCATATAATTGCATTAAAATTTTTAAAAAACCAGCAAGACAGTGTAGGTAATAGAAAAGCTCTCCAATTTCTCGAAGTACTACCGGAAAAATTCCCAAATCAACAATTACCAAAACGCCTTACTCGAGTATTCCGCCCCGTAAATTGTATCCATCGGTGGAATTTAATTGAAAACTCGAGGTGGCAGTCCACTATTTGAGCTTTTCCACATACACACACTCCGATTTACTCATGTCCCTGACGTCCAATGAATATTGAATCCTCTTTCCAGACCGAGGTTCCACCATCTGGTTACGATGAAACAAAAAGATCAAACCACTGGCAACAGATAAAAAAAAATTCCACCCATAGATTCGAAGGTACAAAGATGCTAGCCGTGAAATATTCAGTGAGGATGGTTCAGTGATTTCGTGAATTCTATGGGTTTTGTAACCGCGGATGTGCCGAAAGATATGCACATCCGTTTGTTGCATTTGGGAATATCCTCCAACCATCCGCTCGTCATTCTTTATTGATAAACCCGTCATCATCGACGGAAATGAGATAAAAATCCGAGGGAAAATTATCACCGGATGAATTACAAATCGCCGAGGATTTTCGCCTCCTTAAATCCCCAATTTTTCAATTAACATTTATTTTGGATAATTTTTTAGTTTCGTTTGTATTCGCACGTTTTTATCACATTATTCAGAAAATGAATTTTAATTTAATTTACATCAAAGTCTATGGAATATTCACGTTTTCATTAATATCGGAGAAAAAATTATCGAGGAATTTAGAAAAATTAATTACAAATCCCTAGAAATCCGAGAATTTGGAAAAATCTGAAAAGTAATGGGGAATTTTTTTAAATGCCCTTCCATTCTCAATTCAATTTTTGGAGAGTGATTAAATAGGAATTCATGATTCCCACATATTTTTCCATGACATCATACTATGCAGAAAAATTTCAAACATTTTCTGGGCTCCATTTTCTACAAACAAAAAACTAACAAAAATTTTTGAAACAACTACTTTTTCAAACCCAATTTCCCAATGAAACGAAATGAAAATGATAAATAAATTCCCATAATTTGCCCACCAATAACAGACGCAACTCTAAAAATTTAAATCGCGGTATCTTAATATGCAACAGGAAATTTCCATAATAGCTACGGAAAACTCTACAAAAATCGTGTAACAATTCCGCAAGTATTTTCTCAACTATTTTCACTGCGAACTCACAATAAACCGATAAATTTAATGTAAATTTCCAGGAAAAGGTAATTTTTTATTGACTATTTCTGTCTGTGAAGTTATTAGAATAAGTGATGATGTGGGTAGACAGGGAATGGGGTTTGAGTGTTATATGTCACCATAGATGACCTGGGGGAAATTCGAAAGCATTAGTTTCATCCGGATGTCTCTCTCGTTAAGCCGTCGTCACCCTCAGGGCCATTTTAAACCATGTCCTTTGCCCAGTTGCCGCAGACGCAGGAATTTTATCACGGGAATATCCGGAAGACCCGAGGGAGCACAGCAAATCCCCGGAGTCTCCAGCGCTAGGGATATCAACTTGCTGGATTAGGATAATTTCAGAGAACTCGTGCGTTTGGTTTTGTCAGCGAATTGTCTCAATTGGTTGCTTTTAATTATAAAGTGCTCATTCGATTCACTCAACTTTCAAAACTCTCACCTTTTTTTTAGTTTTTTGAAGTTTTTTTTAATCAGTGTACACGGAGATAAGAACACAAAAAAAAATACTTAACTAGTCATGTAATGGTGGGCTAATAAATGATTCCAGTCATTTTAATGCTAAGCCAGGGTAAAAAATACGAGGTGATCAGCTAATTTGATCATTTTCAATTTTACTGTCACGTATTTTTTCCGATTTTCCGAAATGGTAATTTGTACAATTGAGACACCTTATATGAGACATTTTTCAATGAGGAACGACGGGTATTGACAATTTTTTAAGAATCCAAACAATTGATTGATCGCCTCGCGCATGTTTCCTAAATACATGATTGTCATTTCAGTATTCATGATGATCCACAGGGCTCATGAATTATTATCGAAAATGTGGGTCAAAATCATGATTTTTAGCGGGTTATAGGTTGAGGAGTAGAAGAAAAAAACTAGGTTACAGTGCACAATCTTCATTCCCACTTCCATGATTTTTGAACTTACTATGGAAGTACTTCAAGTAAAAGCGGTGCAGTCAATTTTACGGAACTGATTCGTGAATTTTCCTACAAGTGCAGTATTTTTTCCAATTTCGCTACTCTCCCCATGATTACGTTTCAAACAGTAATTTTTACCCAGCGTCTCCCGTACTTTTTTCAGTACTTTTCTCTCCATGTACAGAAAATTATAACCATGATTTCTTTGAAATAGATTTTCATCATCAATTGATGATCCATTTCATGTACATTTTCCCCATAAATGATAATAAAACTCTCAGAGGTGCCATAAATAAAACAGGTAAAACTAATTTCCCCGTGGATCGGTGGTGGTACAGCGGATTCAATCAATTTTAATAAATTTCCCTCACCTCCCCATTTACATAATACCATAATATATCTATTATGATGTACATACTGAATTTACATAGCTAATGCGGTAGAAAAAGTGACAAGTGTTATGTGTTTTTAGCAGTTGTAGAAATACGATCCACCAGTCTAACTCACTGTTTTCTCTCTTTTTTCGCAGATATATCTTCCTAGCAATTTACACAGCAGAGATGGTGATAAAGTCTATAGCAAAAGGCTTTATACTGAACAAGTACACGTACCTACGAAATCCATGGAATTGGCTGGATTTTGTCGTGATAACGAGCGGTTACGCGACCATCGGAATGGAGGTCGGCAATCTGGCTGGTTTGAGAACATTTAGGGTACTTAGGGCTCTCAAAACCGTCTCCATTATGCCAGGTGAGTTTACGAAAATCTTTCCATACTTACCTCCGAACATTTAACTTGTCTCCCACCAAAGTACCCGAGACAGATAATTTCTGTTACATTACGATCGTTACGGTCATCAGTCATTTTATTGTTTCACGTCTGCATTTCCTTTCCTTATTTTACAAAGTAGTTGTCGTCTAGTCGACGTCAAACCAAATTGTGTAATCATGTAGCAATGTAATATTTGAAAAAATTACTGCTAACGAGATAGACATTTATTGGAAGAAATAGGAAGGGAAAATCTGCATTTCAGGAATAGAAATCCATTTGAATCTATAAATTTTAAATTTGATTTCAGTTTATTTTATAATAAATTTGAGGATTTCATAGTTCGTGTACTTATGTAGGAGACACAATATTTTAGGATTATTTAATTATTTGACTCGATCTTCCTTTTATTATTAACAATTAAACTTTGGTTAAAGACTCGGTATAATATGAGCTGGGTTGGTTGTGGTATATTTAATGTTGTTTGCTCGAGATTTCGTCTCCAAGTGTCCTCGGTCACCAATTCGTCCAGGGTGTCAGGTCTACCCATTAGACAAGGCCCTTTGTATATGGGGTTGGTCCACGTGTTAGGCTGTTTCGTAATAAACAGCCTAAATCTTTCCATTATTCCCTCTGATCAGTCACATGGGGTCTCTTGTTCGTTTTAACGTTGAAAATATTTCCAACACTTACGAAACATCAGAAAACTATACAGAAATAAAAAAGTATAAATGGCAGAAGAAGATGGATATATTTTAGAAATTTATTGTGTTTATTTTTATCTTTTCTCAATGATAAATCTGATTGAAATTTTGAATTGTTTCTGGAATGAACTTTCTTGAAATAACGTAATTCTTTGGAATTCATAGAAAATGCTCGTGTTGTTTTCTTTTTTATCTCACTCCACTCCGAAACGAAAATCTATTGAATTTATCTGCTATTTGGAGAAACGGAAAATGGGCGATTCTGAAAATGACTATTGTAGAATTTAGAACTGAAAGCACAGAGAGAAACATTTTTGTATTAAGTTAAGAATTTCTTTTTCTCTGTGTACTGAGATGGAATATGTTATTCCAAGTTTTATGAAAAACCTTGTGATAAGTATAAATTTCACTTTTCGTGATTAACTAAAATTTGTTGTCATCGCTTGACTGAATTTTTTTTTTAAAATAGTTTGTGTATTTTTCAGCAGTACCGTGAAAAGAATCATTATTTTAACCAAATAAACTTACTAACTACAGGGCAACCCATAGACTTAAAATGAAAATATTTATCTATATTTACTTCTTGCCAACTAAATTTTCTTGACAAAATTAAATGAATTCCGCAAAAGTAATTCTTCCCCGAGCGTACTGATAAGATATTTTATTTTTTACAGATTATACAAGTGTAGGATAAAAATCATATAGGAACAGGATTCTTTTATTTTACAGGGATAACGAAATTTATTTGAAAATAATACGGACTGAGATTACATAAAAAGGATCTACATGTTTACTCACGTTCAGTCAAGTCCGAACTGATTCACTCCTAATTATCACATCTCCAACATACTCATGGTCTCTCTTTATTTAAAAACACAATTTTCTCATTTACTCTCCCTCCCAACCGATAAAACCTTTATTTCAAAAATGACCTCATATTGCAGCACAAAGACCACCCTTACGCAGCAAAGAAAACTTTCAAAACCCTAAACACAACCATAATAAAACTGACAGGTCACGCAAGCACTTTTCCTTTCACACTCATAATTTCTTCTGCTAGGAATAAACATTTAAAAGAAATCTAAAACTTAGCGTCTCTAATAGTCACGTTTAAACAAACTCTTAAATTTAATCACTGGTATTTCACATATCGCCCTCTCACTCGTACATACCTAAACAAAAAAAAGAATAAAGCACTCATTCCTAATTTTACCGAACCCACACAAGCGAAACAAAACTATATTTAAAACATATAAAAACATTGAAATGAAATAATTGGTGATAGCACATCTCCCGCGAAGAGAATATTCGCTCCCGTTATCTGCTTATTCCCATTAACAAGCGTTCAATTAGCATAAACCTTATGGTGATTTGATGGTTAATTCGATTTCTCAGTTGGATTAATTGCCATTGGATATGCACGGCAAATGCTTCGGTATTTGACCGACAAATTGTAATCTATTACAGGACGTTTAAAGGTAATTTTCAAGCACTTTGGAGGGGAGTTACGGTTCTATCTGGTATCGTGCGCGCGCCTAGACGATCAATCCTCTTTCGTGTCTCCAACACAATCAAATTGTGGCTAATATTCCCGACGTTCATTAATAAGGATATTTTACCCAAGAGGAGAGGGGGGAATAAACTGCGATTATGATTGTACAGTGATAGAAGTAAATATGAAATTCAAAACTGGAAAATCAAATCTGCGGTGTTAAAATGTTGTAAAATTACACACACAAAGTAATTTATTCAATTTTATATTATATGGTGTAATATCTATGTCTAGGTTAATTATAAGAGGTTGAAGTCAATTTGAATTGAAAACAGTCATTAACTTTTTTTTGAAATTTTCCGTATGGATACAGCGATAAAAACGAATAGGAAATTCAAAACTAATATTTCTCAATCCTTCGAGGGCTTGGCATCAATTTCACGTTGACATTTCTTTCTCATTGATTTAATTTTTTAAAGTTGCATTCAACTTTCAATGAAATTTTGAACTGAAGAATCAAATCTGCACTGTCAACATTTTTTTTTATTTGATTCGCAAACTAATCGAAATTTGCAATTGTATGAGTTTGCAGTCAATTTCAATTAATAACGCTCATTAAATTTCTCATTTATTTGATAATTGATGCAAATTGGCTTTTTCATGTTAAAGGATAATTGAATTTTCAATGAAAGCTCGAATTTTCATAGCCACCGTGAAAATTCAACATCAAAAACAATCGAATTAAATTTATTTGAATAGATTGAAAATGGGATCGAAAACAATTGAATTCAGGGATTAATGGAAAAGGCATAAATTTCCTTGAATTTCATCTACAATTTCAATTTTCATAACCATTTTTCCTGTAAAACGTAATAAATATCAGTTCCATCGGAATTGTCATTACATTTTCCAAATTCCGCTACTAATTTTTTTTTTATATGTTTTCGTTCCCGCGTAATATTTTTATCTAGTAAACAAAAATTGTTATGGAAGGATAAGGCGTTTTTTCTTCATTCCTAGATGAATTTTTTTATGGAAAAATTATGACGTATTCGTCCAGCCGTTTTGGGGTTTTATCGGAAGCTCTCATATCATAAATTTGGGATACACTATTTGAAAAATGAACTGCAGAGAAGGACAGCTTAAAAACGACCCTCTGGATGAATAAAATTTTATGCTCGAGCAGGAGAAGTAGGTCATACATCTCATATCAATTCTAATGGGGTTGAGTGTTTAGAGAAATAGGCTCCACTGTTGAACATTTTTTTTTTACATTTTCCGGAAAATATGACGATAGTTCTCGTGAGGGTGATATTGAATAGAATTTGAATGAAAAACGGTTGTAAAATGTGATGCCTCTATGACTTTTTCAATATGAATACTCAGGAATAAAATTATATGAATTGTTCATTTTCTAAACTGTTCTGATGTTTCATTAATTTAATGAAATACTGAACTTGAAAAATGGACTGATTTATCAACGACAAGAATTAAAATTCCATCTGCACCTTTTGTTGTTAAAAATTGCGAGAATTTCTAATGGAAATCCGAAGAATAAATCTTCATGGAAGCTACAATTAAAAAAAACGGTAAACCACTCATTTGATACCTGACTTATTGATTTATCTTGATTATTGCCTGAAATATGACCAAAAGTTTGTGGTGGAGCGGTTCCCGATATTTACCAAAAAAACTCCACCAGAAATTATATCATTTTTAAATTAAAAGAACTGGCTATCTTACCCGATTTATCGTATTTTTCATGGGATTTAGTTGTTGCAAAATTATACCTGAAATTTCAAGTTGAAAAAATTTTAATTATTAAGAGCAATAAGGCGATAAAATTTTTCGAGAATCCTTCATTGCCAAATCATTTAATTTCTTGAATATTCTGGTAATTCTCGGGGTTCAGGTAGATATGGCACAGCAAAATCATGAAAATGTTGAAAATTCAAGCAACAATTTTCCTGAATTTTCATCTTATTAACAATTTAATTGTATTTCACATCGAACTTTTACCATGTGCCTGAACATTCAAGCTTTCATCGAAAAATGGATGATTCACTATGAAAAACCCATTGCTCTTAAATTTCCAAGTTAAATGATAAATTTAGCAACCATTTTTCAGTAAAATTGAATTCAGACTTGCACAATTGAAAATCCAAGTGACTCTAAATGTCTATAAAAATCTTCAATGATAAATCAACTAATGGTTCGAATAGTCCAATAATTTTCTTTCTCTATCTATTCTCTATAATCTGATAACTTCTCTCAATTTTTAATCAATCAAAAATGATCTGGCATTTACATTTTCCCTTTGCATTTTCTTCGATTTCAAAAATGAATCATCAATGATAAATTCAATGAAATTAAAGTTGAATTCAAACTCGCAGAATCTAAAATTGAATTGTCAATAACTGAAATTCCACAAAATTCCTAACGCTGTATTGGTTTTCATGAAAAGAATCGAATGACACTAAAGATCTAAAAATTTAGGGCACTAACGAACCCATTTGCGAAACTTCCTGACGATCCTGGAAATGATAGCAAAATGTGAGGACGTTTATGGACTTAAGCATTAAAAGTTATAATGATGTGTCATCACACACTACTCAGAGACAGGTATAAAAGTTTGGTGGTGTTGGAAGAGTATTACTTACTATTACTATTATTAGAAGCAAAACACAATTTCACTATGAGAGAATGAGTCCATCATAATTTCAGGAATAATTTATTCGATTAAGTTGAATCTGTCCACTCATATTAGGTACTTTCCTCAACTTTTTTAATTACACTTTCATTACTTCTTCTGCTTACATTTAAGTTAGATAAACCTTGGGATTTTTATAACTTTATATTTTACCTCCACTTTTTTCACTGAATACTACTTAACATAATATTCCTAGTTCAATATTAATTAAATAAATTGATATCAAATTCTCATTCTTATTTCGTCTCTCCCATTTCAAACCACATCCGATAAGTTTTTAATTCTCCTAAAAACTGGATCATTTACTTATGGAACTTATTCTACCAATTCTATTACTTCTATTTTGTAATTGCTTATCTTGTAATTAGTGGATTTGCTTGGCGGAGGTAATTATTTTTTTCAGTGGAGGAGATTGAAATATATTTGTGTGCAAGGACATTAATCATCACTGGCTATTCCGTTTCCATGTAGACAATGATGAAAGAAGAGCTCTCATTTAACGATAGGTGAACAAAGAACATTTACGCCAACCGTTCCATGAAATGCATCATAAACGCAGGAAAATGGCAAAATTAATTAGTTATCGCACGTTAATGAGTACTTTATACTTCCGCTCCATTCCGTACAATTAATTCTCGTAAACTCATTTAATTTCGATATTTCATTCTCTACCTTCGGTATTGCGAATAAAATCATTTTTGTCGTTTGCTGATAGAATCGCGAAAATGGCCGTTAAATTCACCGGTTTATATTATTATATAGTGTATACTAAGTCCCCCAATTGTAGGAAATGCAGAATTTCATACAGATTTCTCAGAAATATAGAGTAAATTGTGAGTAGAGGTATCAGAAATTCTGAGACGTGGGATTTCTAGAGATTGTATTACATTTTCCTTGAAATCGGATATATAAACGTGAATTATATGGAGAAACATGAGAGCTATGTCATGGTTGTTTTTATATCAACTGGTATTTTCGATGACAAAATATCTTCTTGGGTCAAAGAATATTCTATAAACATGCTAAAAAAAATGCCTATTTCAAATAATTTTTTTTTTCTCAAACAAAAGCTATTGCTTTTTTCAACGACGAAAATCAATTTACCAAGTAAATTTCAATACTCAGACTTGAAATGACAATTTTGAATTTTTCTCCGACTTCTCCTGATTTTTATAATTTTTGCAGAATAATTGAATTAGTAAATCAGGTTTGTTAATGATTTTCAGATTACTTGAACTGAAAATCAATGAAATGTTTCATATTTCAATAACAGAATTGCTCGAAAATTTGAATTTCATCCCTCGAAATTATTAAAAACTCAAAAAACACCGAAGAAACACACTCAGAGAAATTCATATTACGAAAAATGCTGCCAAAAATAACTCCTTGTCCGGAATCAATTTGCTGATTACAAGATAACCCACAGATTCAAATGCAAACATTTATATCAGTGCATTAAAGTGATAAACGGTTCATGTCGATTTTTGTGGAGAATGAGATTATTACTGGAATCGACTCTAATATAAACGCATCTCTCAAGAAAGAGTTTTAGCCTCGCAACATATCTAATGACTTCTTTGGAATAAACAGAATGGGTCAAGTTGCAACTCTAACTCCAAACGAGCTATGTCGACATAAAGCAAGAAATAATAATTGGAAAAAGGAGCTAAGTCCTCATAGCCCTCCCAAATAATAACACCAAGAAAGATAAATCGACTTAACTCTCGAGCAAGAAACACAATTCGAGCTAAGTCGTCGAATTTCATGAAATAAATGACTGGAGAAGGTGAAACTATTAATATGAAGACCTGCCCCAAAATCAAATAAAATTCATTAATCAATCTGCACAAATTCATAACAGAAACGGTAATCAGGTTTTCGGCTCTCAGAAAATTTCTTTTTTTCAACTTAACAAGTCTCATATTTACAAATATTTACCCGCACCACATCAATTTACATGCCTGTAATAAATTAATCCACTAATTGTTTCTTAATGAATAAATTCATATAAATTCATATAAATTCATGCACATCGTACTCTTAAGAAAAAACTAACACGCTCATTCCATCGGATTGCAAAAGTTGGTCCAAAGACCAACCAAAAAGAGCATTAATTTCCGTAATTACTGCTGCACGTTACCTTTTAATTCCAACTCGCCCATGAATTCGCCTCTTTATTTTGCCTCTAATCAGAGGCGACTCGAAATTCCCCGAGAAAATAGAGGACCGCGGGAAAAACTTTGGACCGGCAATAAAAGGTATGCAAGAAAAAAAAAATCAAGTAGCACATAGACTGGCAGATGTGAGAGTATAGGGTATTGCATTAGCATATGTATGAAACTGTGGGGGATGAAATGGTGGACGTGACGTATCATGCTGAGAGATAGAGTTGGCAATTACATGACGAGAGACGACTGTCGATTGGTCCTCACGAGACTTGACGTATTAGTCTGTGTGTCAGACTGAGGGATGTTGTAAACGGAAACACATTGTGTCATCCATGAAATTAACGGCCAAGTGCATGTACCGGTGCATACTCTCATGATACTCTGATTATATATCATGGGATTTGCACCGGCTATTCAATTAACCACTCTCAATATCGATATTGGCAGCCTATTAATTATATTCAGAAAATATATTGATTGCTTAATTGACTCCTTTAAAAGAGATGGCAATAGCTCTTCGAGAAGACCGGGGCAAAATTAATTACTGTGACAAACTCATCACTCACACTATTTGCGGAATGTTTTTTCCTTCTTCGTTTTACCTTAAGGTGGTTGTCGCGCGACAGTCTCTGTAAAAAGTTTATCCGCTGTAAAACGGGCCAGTTTAGAACACAATCTTTTAGCGGTATATAGTCTCACTTGATTGATTGCATTGTGCATGGATAGCTAAAGCATAACTATATATTTTCCATATTAACTATTTTCAATTATATAAATTTATGAATTTCCGATAATTATATCCCGTAAACCAAACGGTCAATCGATTTGATTTTTTTTCTGTATTTCCTCCCACGATGTATATTCCACGTTTTTTTTTATTTCTGAAACTGTCGAGCCGTTGATTTTTAAAAAATTCTAATCGGCAAAACTCCATTTAAACACGTGTTAAATCACTCGAATTTCAAAAATTTATATCTCAAGTTCAAAACGGTCAATTGCAAACGGAAAAGGCTCATTTTGTTACTAATTTTTCAAACTATTCACCATAAAATTGTTAACGAAAACTGTCAAAAAAAAATTCTACGCGACAACAACCTTAAAAGTTAAAGTATTGAAATTATATTATACAGTATTTTTCTTGAATTTTCATCGAATTTTCTCCTCAAGTTTTCGTTTAACGCACAGACTAATCATGTGTCATTCTATTGATATTAAATAGTATATATATTCATAGATTTTTTCGATATTAAAAGAGCAATTTTTTCCATTCTCGATTATTGTTCGATATTTTCAATAGACCGATTGCCTTTCTAAGAATGAAAATGCCAGAGAAAAATCGGGCACGTCTTCAATTCAATTAAAAAAAAATAGAGTGTTTTAGATTCAATGAAAATTTTCTATCAACTATTTTTTAGAATAAGAATTCATGTAATAATAAATCATCCCTCTCCTGTCATAAATTACGTTCATGAAATAGTAATTTACGATAATGGTGAAGGTAAGTAACGTTTTAACGCCAATCATAAAATAGGATTTTATAATCATGATATACTTAATAAAGTTACGTTCCCATAATTTAATCATGAACCGATGAACCATATTTTTGAAAAATATGTATTTCTTCGCGTGGGCAGTTGTAATGAAAGAAGGCTTTTTTCGAAACAATTGAGATTTCCATGGAAAAAAATTTTTCCCTTCCCATCTGCAATATTCATCGACAAAAGACCGATGAAGAGATCCAGACAATAGTGAGTACAGCAAAGATCCACTCGACTTAGAGCAAGTTTTCATCCCCTCACCCCACAATCCTCATCTTAGCAGAAAATATCGGGTAAGAGTGAATAGTCTTCTAATGAATCGTTCGAGTGCGAGCATCACCTGTGCCCCATTGTAACCCTTAGAAACAACCTGAGCCACTCACACGCCATCAGTGGATTCCAGGTCAATAGGACATTTTCTCCTTTAACCCACACACTCAAAAATATAAAACTAAATTACCTTGAAGAAATTGTATTTAACCCCTTGAATAGCACATTGTGATACAATCTAGTCAGGAAATTGTTACCGTTAAAAATTCCTTGAAATTCTACTCACAATTTAATCTCAATTTTGAATTACGTGAGCTTCAATTCAATTTTATTTGGAAATTTTCAGAAAAAATGTGATTCATCTCGAAAGTTGATGAAAAATGCGACATTTCGTGTGAAGTGGTGATGGATTTTTTGGTGAACGTTTGAATTTTCAAATTCATTTCACATTTAGAATGAAAAATCCTTGAAAAATTTCATATCACAAGATTGTTCAAATCTTCATGTCTTTTCGTTTGGAACTTCAAGCCTAATCTTCACAAGATAGACGATTGAAATTCCTGTAAAATTAACAAATCGGTAAATTTCCTAAATAGTTAAAAAAAAATGTTATTTTCAGGTGCAGAAGGCACGGGAAACCTTAAAAATGTTAAACAATCGACTAATAATTTCTCTAACTTCTCAATCCATTGAAAACTCAAATAACACTGCGATTGCCATTTACTAATATAATATCAATAATAATTAATAATTGAAATGCTACGATAATTAAAGTTAATCATTATTAATATAATTGAAGGATTTTATTGGACTCGATTTTTCAATTCAATTATTCCGTAAAAATGAATTGAATGAGCGAAAAATGGAGTTAATTCAGGGAAAAACCGAGAATCAAGTCAGGCTGTAAAATTTCTGCCAGGTTCTCCCTGAAAAATCACGACTGATAATTGAATGTGAATTATTTTGCAGGCCTCAAGACCATCATCAACGCTCTCCTCCACAGCTTCAAACAACTCGCTGAAGTTATGACTCTGACCATTTTCTGTCTGATGGTCTTTGCTCTATTTGCTCTGCAGGTGTACATGGGAGAATTGAGGAATAAATGTGTGAAACAGCAAGACCCTAATGGAACACAAGTCGATTGGAGAGAGTAAGTTTGGCAAAAACACTCGCCTTCAAAAAATTTACTTTCCCAAATATCCATTTAGTCCAGAGAATTATTTTTATTTTAAAAATTGTATTTCTCTACTCGTACGTTTTGGTTATCATATTCTACATAATCATTATCTTGCATATATTTTTTAATGAATTCATCTAGACCAGATTATTTACTTTTTTTTTATATTTCGCAATTATAGCAGTAAACAATTTTTATGAATTCCTTCATGTTAATTGAGAGAATAGATTACTGAAGCTCATAATTGAAATAGAGTAATCCTATTATTTACAGTAATAGTTGATTATTCAACGAAAAAAATGCGGCCTCAGAAGATTGAAAGTTTCTTAGGAGTTAATGAATATTTAGTAAAAATGAATCTCGTTGAAAGTTATATACATAAAAAAATCTTCTAAAACTTCTGTTAAGTTTCCGTTTGACGACTCTAAAAATCCAATCGTAATTTTATTAAAACTTTGCTCAAAAGTTCTTTTTTTGCTTTGATTCTTGGATATTTGTAGAAAGAAAGTTCATAATTTTGTATTATCTGTTTGAATTTTCCTGAAGATGTTTGCCACCAAAATTGTTAAGCATGCAATCTCAACTTATTGCTATCCTTCCATGTCTTCTGCTACATTCAAATGAGCTTCTCGTTTGAAAATAAGAAAAAATCGTAGGAAAAACAGGTGGAAAAAGATATAGATTAAAATAATAAATTGCCTCTACCTCACTGTTGAATTGCAGATATTTTTAGTGGATAAAAACGATAGTTCTCTCATTTCGTTTGATCGCCACTTTTAGTCGGAGAAAATTCCGTCATTTTGGGGATAGCAGTCTCCATCTGCTTTGAACAACTGCTGGTTCCATTTCCCAAAAATGTTGTTATAAAGTACTTTTTCAATGTAACAAGTTTATTCTGTCGTCATAAGCAGTACGAGTGTTTTCACGGTGTGACTTTTTTGATAGCCACCCGAAAGTTCGCTTATTGCGTTCTAGTTTTCATACTTCCTCCCCGTTTTTGCAGGAGAACTCTTTTTTTCTCTCAACAGAAACCCATGAATTTATGGCACTTGAGTGGATCGATAATGTTAGCCACGTTTTTAGTGAGTGTCGATGTTTTCTCACGTTTCAAACTGCTATAGTTTTTTTTCGCCACTTCTTGTAATGTTATAGCTTACACTATCCGAGAGTAACTTTGCCATCATTTCTAAAGAGTGAAATACATATTCTATTGAAATTCTTCCAAAAAAAATCGGCATTCGGAGTAGAATACGTGAATTAAGAAAGACCCGGGCAAAATGGGACACAGAATCAAATGGAATGCGGGTAAAATCGGATGAATCTGGAAGTTCGATGGGAAACGAGGGGAAAAAATCAATCGTAAAAATCCATTATTCAACATTTCAGTTTTTCTAGAACTTTATGACATTTGACTGATTAAAAAATTTAATGAATTCCATTATCAGATGCAAAAAATGAGCCATTGAAGTTAGAGAACGTATTTTTGGGTTGAAAAATAAAAAAAAACACAACTGTATAACAAAAAAACTTAAACTCTGAAAAAACACTGGAACACTTTACGGGTGTCTTCAATATTTTTGAGCGAAAGGAAAATGACTAGGAATAAGTTAAGAAGGGCTTTCCACAAGTGTCCCATTTTGCCCGCCTCTCCCCTATATTCTTTGTAAATCATAAACATTGACGCGTCTTTACATCTTTTTTTGTCCGAAAAAAATGCCATAAATGACAGAAAAAAACGAAAACATCTCCGGATCAGAAATGATCTTTTATCCTGACAGAGGTAGAGAGGAGAGTTGATAAAAAAAATGTTGTACAGCTGGAAAATCCCAGTTGCACAACCAAACGGAGGAGAAACAATTTTTTTTCTTCACCCTTTTTCCCACGGTAGATTCTAATTATCGTGGACGCTGGGGGTCCCAGAAATAAAAGAGCATGAAAAAAAGAGTGGTTGGAGAGGGATAAAAATGGCAAAGAAGTGCAATAGGTCCTCTTTAAGGCAAGGTTTTAATATTCGAAAAGCAGAGAGGCTGGCGGAGATAATGGCTCGTTGGCTGAAACCCGGAGATGACTGGGTGACCGTTGGATAAAAGTAGAAGTAAAGAAAAAAGTCACTGGAAATTTTCATGAATATCAGCCGCAGTGACCCAAGAAATTTTCACACATCCTAGGCAATTTTCAACTGGCTAAACTGTCCGAAAAATCTCACCATCTCTATCAATTATTCACGAGCCATTCCAATGCAGAGCTTAGGAATTTCGATAGAGTCAAGATATCAAAGTCCATTATGCTTTTGGTCAATTCAAATTTTGATAACCAAAAAAATTTGAAACCTAAATTACAATTTTAAAGTCTGTTACGGTAGAATTTTCAGTTTTGCTATTTTCGACCCCAGTTTTTAGTACATATTTCGGATGGAAAAAGGATTATCATATTTTCATTGATACCTTTTTTAGATAACACGTATCTACGTCACAGCATCATTTCAACACAAAACACTGCATCAGGTTTATTCACTATATTATTTTCCATTCAATTTATTTGAACATATTAAGTAATTTACACAGATGTACAATATTAAGCGGGCCTTACTGTGTTGATTCCACAGTTTTAATTATTTTCTGATTGCGACACGGATGAAAATGAATAGTAGAAATTACAAAAATATATCAGATTTTACCATAAAATTCTGATAAGGTAAAAGTGAGCTTAACTTGGTTCGTTTTATTTGTATTCGTTCCTATATATTTATAAGGGATATTGAAAGGGATATTGGTAGATGATGTGATGATAGTTGGAAGTTTTATTTTTTTTTTTCCTGCTTCATATGGAAATTTTTTTATGTTTACATCCAGAATATATGAAGTTGTGTTTTTCTTCGATTTGTGTTGCCTGTTACGAATTTTCAAACTGTATTATAATGGTCGGTTTGCTTACGATATTTTTGTATGTGTAAAATTTATTTTGTTTTCTTTGAAATGTTTTGTTTACTTCGAGAAAAATAGACACGAAATCCTTTATTTGTAGCTCTCATATTTCTCTATACAAAATGTATGAACAAATAGTCATTTATGTCATAAGGCCTGAAAATATAATTATCTTTCTTCCATTAGGAGATACCATAAAACAGGCTTTCAAAAATAATGAACTTATCGTAGTTTACCTGTTTGCTACTGAATTACGAGATGCGAACTTGTCAATTGCCAAAATATAAACGGAAATCGGCATTTTTAACTCGTGAATCGGACGTTTGAACCTTTTAATTACGAATTTAAGAGTAATTGACATTTTTATTCCCGTAATTAAATACATTGGAAACAATGTGAATTATGTATTAAGATCTAATTTTTGAAATGGATGAGAGACAGATTATCGTGTTAACAATAACAGCTTTTTTAAAAGCGCTATGAATTCCGCATTTTAGTATCAGGAAGCCTTTTTCCCAAGTTATGTCCCTAACAACATTCAGAAGAATCCACAAAAAAATAACAGCTTAAATAAAAATTGAATAAAAAATCCAAGATGTGCCTATAAATATTCATAAAAAATTTCCCAAGAATTCGCGTGAAGCTAAGGTATAAAAATAGCAAAGAAAAATGACTCCTTTTCGGTATTGACATTCGAGCTAATACTGTCGTGTAAAAATAAATTTAGAATTGCACTTGCGATAATTAGAATATGAGAGAGCAGAAAACATGTAAATATTGCCACTGTCCGCTCTTTTTCTCGCTCGAATCTCCACCACTTTATCAAGAAATGCGAATGAGTAAAAACTTTTTCTCATGAATTTCTCTCTGAAACTCATCACATCGAAATTTACGTAATTAACAACTAAAAACAAGTAATCCCTCGATTGTTTTAACTTCAGGTCGTTCCACATTACAGCTGTCACGACAAAATAACTGAACTAAAACGAGCGAAAAACTGTCTCTATATATCAAGTAGCAGAGGGATCGACAGAGTCGATATTGGAAACAATCGACTGATGGACTTTTCCCGATACGAATTTCACCCCATCAGTGCTTGCGACCCACTTGTATTGCTTGCTATCTACAGCTGACAACGAAGAGTCAATTTATCCGATAAATGCTGCCCACGATACTCATTTTATAACTCTGTTAAACTATAATGCCATTTATATAAACCCAGATATCCCAGCGGTTTAACTCGACTTTTTATATTCCTAGTTGAAGATACGGCTTTCCCCAGAGTTACATTTTATTTTATTGAACTATAAGACTTCTCGTAAACCATAAACATGGAAAAAAACTCGAATTATGGAAACACTCGACACTTATAAAATCGATTCTTCCTTTATCTCAACAGGTGGACTTGGAACTCATCCAATTGGGCCTTCGACGAAGACGAACATCCGATCATATGTGGAAATGTCACTGGTGCCAGGTTTGTTGTTTATTATTATTTCGACACACGAAAAAACATTTTTCAAAGATTACCCGACAATTCACGTTATCCGCTATGGGACATCATTTTACGTTTTTCTTTGGAGGAATAAGAGAAAGAATAAGATGAAATCTGATAGTTTAGTTCATCAGCGTTCCTTTAAAAAAAAACACAGCCATTACTTTTGTGTAATTGTAATTGGACCCAAGGTTATATTATGAACGATCATGTTTCCTGAATTTTTTTCTTTTAAAATTTATGAAATTTTGGTAAATAGTTTAGTAACATTAAACTTTTTTGCTGAAACTGAGGCAAATTTCAGTTTTTCTGGTTCATTTTATAGGAAATGGTTCATATTATATCGGTATCTAATTGCTTTAAATGAATTGATTTCTTCAAGATGTAAAATTAGTCATTTTTATGCTTGGATAGATATACGATATCTGTCCTTCCCCTTCCCTTCAGAAGATTCCTGATTTTTACAACTTATATTAATTTATTTTCTTACCCCCTTCAACTTATTCGCCGAATTAAGTCCGACTCAATCTTTTTATTTATTCCTTTTAGTTTCGTTACTAAATGGGGAATTTATTCACTTTATTCAGAAAACTCCTGGTAGAAAAAAAGAGACTCTTCTTGAAATTTCAGTCACAATGCTATAAATTTTATAAATTCATTTAAAAATTCATTCATCAATTTTCAATGATATGAGGTTCCCATTCCACTTGAATTGAAAATTTTCACTAAATTTCTTATTTATTCAGAGAACTCAAAGAAATCGCATTTTTAGAGTTGATCATTAATCTTCCATTAAATTCTGAAATTTAACATCAAATACAATTAAATATTCAATAGCTTCAAACTCCAAAGAATTTATTTCCAAATTTTTAACATTTTCACAATTTTTCAATTTCGTATGAACCACAAAATGGAGAATCACCTAAGCATTCAACCAATTAAATTCAATAATCGAAATTTCCCATCCTTTCTTCGTGTGGAAAATTTCAACTTATTTCACTTAAAATTTTAAATGTAATTCTCTAGCAATGGAGTCGCACTAAAGTTCAACAACAAAACAGAATAAAAATGGAAAATTGTTGTCGACAATTGCACGAACGAGGGGTTGAAAAGTTTCGGCGAAACTAGGAATCCGAAGGGCCACGGAAATTAAAGTCACAGGAGCATTGAATCTGAGTATCGGGGTTGGTTGATTCTGTTGACTTTTTTTTTGTTTTATTCTCTTTTTGGTTAAAGCACGAGCAACTTTAAAGCACTACGGTTCATCGGGCCGCAGCTGTTGGCTAAAAGAATGCCTTCCTTCCGACAGCCAGAGTATAACGCTCTACCGGACCGTGATTGATTCTCATATTTATTGCTAAAGTTTTTTCACCGAGATGAATAATATCGCTAGAAGGAAACTCAACAATTTAAGAAAGTGAAGAGGCGGCGTTTAATCCCCCGGTATTTTCAGCCCATTATGTTATCAATTCTTCAAATTCTTCCAGAGAATTATGAAGTTTACACTTTGAGGAGATGGTATTACTCCAAAATGACAGTTTATTGACTACACAATGAAAAAAATTTGTGGATGTGAGAAAGAAAAATTTAATTGAAAATTTTATTCTATTAAGATCGAGTTTCTGCTCCAATTTTGAAGGTCTTATGGGAAAATTTTATGTGGAATTTGAAATATACTTCGACGCTTGTGTCAGAATTTTGCATGGATAGAAAATTGTTACATAAATTCTCCGAAATTTGACCATAAATCTGTACGAATTTTAACAGAAACAACGACAACTTTGCCTGAGTAGCACTAGAACTTTTTATAACCGATACATTGGAATTTTTCCAATATTTTAAAGGGACTAGCATTAGAGTTTTTCTTTAAAAATTCCCCTCGATACACGTAATCTTCAAATCGCATTAAATACTGAAAAATAATCCGCAGGAATGTGTCTTCTATTCCTAAAATGAGGAAATAATAGGGAAACGACCCTCGACTCTTATCCATGACCTCGCCTATAATTATCTACTCCCCAAGAAATTCTGCTCCCTTTCATAGTCAGTGAAGTGTGAGACCAGCTTTCCTCATTATTCGCTACCGCATACCTTGGAATTGGAAAAATTTCGTCATTAATTTTTTTTTCCTATTACAGAAATACTCCACTGACAGTTGATTCATGGATTAGTAAAAATTCGATCGCAAAAAAATTTCAGGAGTTGTTCATGATCTCAAAGATATAATGATTCCAGAATAAGAGGATTTATAAAGATTCCAGAATCTCATCAATTATTCCTCTACGAACTAATTGGTATTTCTTATAAAATATAAAATAAACGTTCCCTCAACAATTATAAAAACATTAAAAATAACTGAGAAATATATGATAATCAAGTTATCAATCTATTGACCATGGGATATTGACCACAAGTTAATGAAAAGTTTTGCGATTGAAACTGGAAAATTAAGACAAGTAATTCAAATGAATTTGTGGATTTCTCAGTATTCATAAATTATGTTTCAGACACTGCAATGAGAGCTACACGTGCCTTTGCGTAGGTCCAAATCCTAATCATGGCTACACGAATTTCGACAATTTTCTGTGGTCAATGCTCACCACTTTTCAGCTGATTACTTTGGACTACTGGGAGGATGTCTATAATAAGGTAACTGCTTCAATGTTATTGAATTTTTACGAACAATAATAAGAACATTTGTTATTATAATTACATAATATTATAATATAATTGAAGTATGATGACATGACAGGATTACTTCAGACTCCATTAATTAAAATTTTCAAGAAGTGCACTGGAAATTTCCCCCACAAATCTTTGAAAAACTCTTTCAATACACTGATCTTCCATTTGATATCACCCCAACCCGCATATTGAACAACAAATAACATAGATATTGATCGGTGAAGGGTGCATGCGGGTAAATATTGATATGAGTTAATTGACAAAACAGGTGTTGTCAGCGTGTGGGCCTATTAGCGTTACGTTCTTCACGGTGGTCGTGTTCTTTGGATCGTTCTATCTCATCAATCTGATGCTCGCTGTTGTGGCACTGAGCTACGAAGAAGAGGCTGAGATTACAAACGAGGTAAAATAATTGAATTTCCGACTCATTATCTCTAGAAAACTAAAAGGTTCCTTTGATATTTCAATCAGAGAATAATTGGTCATTACATTTTTCATTGTAAATTCAACAGATAATAGATTCAATTCCAACCTAGGGAGATTTTTATTTCACCAAAACTCCAGATTTCATATCTATTTTCGTACAGAATAATTTTAGCTCGTATTACATTTTTTTTTCTGTCATACGTAATCTTTTATATTGATGATGAAGTTCTGATCCTGTCTAAAATTAAATCAAAAGTTTGCTTGTGCTGGTCTGAATTTTCTTTTCTTTATTGTTATAAAACAATTGTATTCACCAGTTCAGGTTTCATGGGGTCCAGTTGGGAACTATTTTTCATTTAGAAGGACTATTATTGAAATTATTTCGTATGTATAAGTGAATCATTTCCATTTTACGAGATTCATGAAATCCATAACTTCAACCTTCAAAATACCCCTTGCGGAAGAGCATTTTTAACTCATTTTCACTCATGTTTCTCCGCGAAAAAATGTCGGAGACGGTCTAAAAGTCTTCCATTGTTTTTCGCGAAATTCATTTTTTTTTTCAATTATACTGTTGGTTTCATACTTTTTTAATTTTCGACTGTCTCGAAAAATACGCCATCTATCTTGAGTCGCTCATTTTTTGCTTCTGCTCGTGAAATTTCTTATACGGGAATTAAACATTTGTTCCTCAGTCAAGTATAACAAAATCCTGGAAAAACTGAAATGTTAAATTAAAATTCGTCGCTTATTTTTCCGACCTGCGACTGTAATGAATTAATGTAATTATGGAGCAAAATGAAGCTGTAGGGAAAATGAGAAAGAGTCATGAAATTTTTGCATTTTTTGGTTGAGTTAATTTTGATTCTTGAGGGTATTAAAAGTTTTCTAATTTTCGTTTGATATTCACCACATGTAGCAGCAAAAAGAGCCCGGAGAGCTAGCGGATGCTCAATCGAAAACGCGCAGGCGAGCTCGCCCTGGGGTACATAGGCGAGCTCGTCCACAAGGTGCTTCTCCGAAAGCCAAATCCATCAAAAGTGAAAATGTGTCAAACACCGTAATCTGGCAAAACGACGTAATGTTTTTTCTTCATCCTAATCGTAGAAAAATGCTCTGACCAAATTTGGACACAACTTTCAAAATTAAAGACATTTCATTTGAATTTATCTCCCGATCTCTTCTGATTCTGATTTAAATTCTGATTTAGCTATAACCAATCAATTATCTCGTTTGTTCATGACGAATGTTGAGAAAATGTTGATGACTCAGCTCTTTTAAATTTGCACAGGAACGAAAAAAAGATCTCACGGATCACCGCGAAGACTCGACGTTTAGTTTTGACCCCACGAAAATCAACATTAAGACGTTAACGAAGGAGAAGCAGAAAAAAATTGACGCGAGAAAGGGAGTTTTACTCAGCAGTTACACAAGAAAGAAAACGAGAAGAAGAAAACGGGGAAGAAGTACTGCTGGACAGGAGAAGAATGGTGGTGCCAGGAGCAGGTCACAAACAAATAAACGCGATCAGTAGGATCATCCTCATATTTTGTTTATTTATCGTATTATTGTTGGCACATACCTTTTTATTCTGGCACGGCATGTTAGATGAAGACCCTTTAAATAAATTTTAAATGCACCCAGGCAGAAATCACATGAGAAATTAATATTTTCAAATTGAATTTTTCAAAATTTTCATTCGAAATTTCCTAACAAATCAATCAAATGTTATAATCAAATATAATAATGAGTATGTAATTCCATAAATATTCGTAATTCTGATTTTTATTCCGAAATTCTGCTACTAAGCGGTGGTTCTAGATATTTTCCGTTTCAAAAGAAAATAATGAATATTCATTATGTCGGGTATTTCTAATGCGATCATTTCCTACTGGCGATTTTTCATGACATTTCAACAATATTCAACAGTTTTCTACAACATGAATTTCTCAAGACGTGAATTTTGCCGAAATTTATACATTCACAATGAATAATTTGCGGAAATTGAAGCAAAGTATCTTTTTCTATAAGTGAGAGCAGATAATATAGATAATAATGAAGATAAATTGGTAATTGTTGAGTCAATGGTATTTTCAATCAATAGGTCAGTGACACCTAGCCCTAGTCCAAGTCCGAGGCATTCAAATGCTCGACCCTCAAATCTTCCACTTCAAGTGGCTCCAAAACCACCTGATCCAGTCCACCGCCTCGCCCCCCATCGCAACATGCTACACTCGAGACAAGCAAGCAACAATAGCAATCAACAGTCATCACTGGATGATTCTGGAGTTGTGGATGATCATGATGGGGATGATGTAACATCAGCCGAGGAGCATGAGAGGCGAGAACACAGAGTAGAAAGAGCCGAACGCTCACAGACACAACAAGTGACTGGGATTGCTGAACGTACTTTACCACTAGCACCTGTTACTGTGTCAGTTAGGAGTAGAAGTAGGGAGATCAGGGTACTCAAATGCAATGGCGTCAAAACAAAAAAGCAGTTGTATACTTTACCGCCCGAGTATCTTTCCCACATTGTTGTTCTTGGTAAGTTAAATGTTTATTGAGGATGTTTTGACACTTGTTGGCCGTGTATCTAGGGGAATTAGTCTAAATATTTGAAGGATTCTGGTGAGAAGTTAGTTCGTTGGTTATTGGACTTTCACTATAGTCAAGCTTGCAAATTTCGATATTGTTCGAATTACAAAATCACATTTTTTGATGAAATCACAAATTTTATAAGAGTCAATAGTCTCATCATTAACATAAAATTAAGTTAATAAATCATCAAATTTCTCCACCATTCTGACAACTATTTTGCCAACTTATAAAGGAAAATCTCTTTGAAATTTACATGGTAATAAATACTGCTGGGGCTACATTAATATTCATTCTTACGACATAGTCTTCCTGGATTCGTGGATTGATCCATGCATTACAATAAGTAATAATAATATGTGCTGTTCATAAATACACCAAAGACCTCGACAAAACAGTAAATTACGGTACAAGTGAAATAAAAATACTTTTTGACGAGTATAAGCGTTAACCATCGAGCCGAAAGCGAGGGTTGTAATCACACTTGTTACAAAGTACTTTTTTTCACGTGTATCGTACAAAATGTTGTGATACCCGTAAAACTAAAGGAGTTCTTTGTGCACGAAGCATGGGAAAGAAGAGCTCTTTTTTACTCTGGTACTACGAAAACTGTTACACTAAAAGTCCATTCGTAAAGATACGGGTCAAAGTGTAAGATAGTGAAGACACAACTATTCAAACTCATGACTAGCCGCTTTAGATCCTGGCAGCTATGTTATGACTTGATATGAAAAATTAAATCCAAACAAGCAAAGATATCTGTCCAATTTATCTGAAAACGTCATTGGCAGATTTGCACTCGGTACTCAATTCGGAAATTTTTAACAGCAACTTGCCCCCAATAACAAACTTCTCTTTCAAGATGATCTGCCGGATCGAAACTGTGACAAATGTATCCAATGCTGCGTGGACTACGAGGGCTGGCTTCGCTTCCAAAACTGTCTCTACAAGGTAAACTTTTCAACTGATAAAGTACCGAATAGCGTTTAAAATGAGGGCATGAGCAAGACTGATAAGAAAGCCTTCTTTGTGAGTCTTTCCTTTGGTACAAAAAGGTCTCAAAATTTTTAGCTTTACAATCTCCACTCTCAAAATCATTAATCCAAAATTCTGAAAATGATAAAACTCATAAATTTATCTGCAGGTGGTTAGAGATCCTCTCTTCGAGCTGACGATCACCCTGTGTATCGTCCTGAATACTGGCTTCCTCGCCCTGGAGCATCATGGAATGTCGGAATCAGTCCGTCAGGCGCTGAACATCGGCAACAAAGTTTTCACTAGCATCTTTACATTCGAGTGCTTCCTGAAGCTCCTCGCCCTGAGCAAAGACTTCTTTAAAAACGGCTGGAACAACTTCGATCTTATTATCGTATCCGCTTCTCTGATTGATCTGGCCTTCGAACTCGTCGATGGTCTCTCAGTTCTTCGAGGATTACGTCTCCTGCGTGTTCTTAAGCTCGCCCAATCTTGGACGACAATGAAAGTTCTTCTCAGTATCATCATTTCCAGTATCGAAGCCTTGGGAAATCTGACCCTCGTTCTCGTAATTGTCATCTACATATTCGCTGTGATCGGCATGCAGCTCTTCAGTAAAGACTACACAGCTGATAAATTTTTCCCCGATCCCGTTCCCCGCTGGAATTTCAACGACTTCTTCCACTCATTCATGATGATATTCCGGATTCTTTGTGGTGAGTATGAACGAATCATTACATTCGCAAAAGAACAGATCGATCAAACTCGCAAACTATCGATATTTCCTAAATGTGTTTCGCATATTCCTCATTAGTTCACAGCTGTCTCAGGCAGTTAATTTCAATTCAGAACCTATTGCATTTTGAAATTTGCAATCACGATTTTTATCGTTACACCGCGTTAGGTCTCGTAAAAGTGTAAGTGTACTTACATAAATATAAATATCCGATAAAGGATGCAATAACGAATGAAGGGGCCATGAATTTTAAGGCTGATATATGACCACCATCTCCGAACTTCCCCCCATTCGCTTCTGCCGGCTTGTGCATAAGAAATTAACCAATCGATATTCTTTGAATGAATCCTTAATCCCTAGGTGAATGGATCGAGCCCCTCTGGGACTGCATGAGAGCCGAAAAGTACGAAGGACCGGAAACCTGTTTCGCCATATTTTTACCCGCCCTGGTAATGGGTAACTTCATGGTGCTCAACCTCTTCTTGGCCTTGTTGCTCAACAGCTTCAATTCCGAAGAGCTCAAGCAGAAAAAACAAGAAGTCGGTGAAGACTCGAAACTAGCCAAATCATTCGATCGAATAAGATCGATAGTTCGTAAGAAGAGATACAGAAAGGAGAATTCCGAGAATAAAAAGAATATGAGACTGGAGCAAATAGTGAGGGAGGTGATGGACAAGTCTGATAAGGAGAAGTACGCGATACAGGAGACAGTGCTGACTCTACCAAAGGAGAATATTTACAATCGGTCGTATCAGGAGAGTCTGAATCAGCCGGTGTTCACGTATGAGCCGATATATCGACAAGCTACGGTTACGACTTACAGCCAGAGCAGTCAGGAGACTGTCAGAAGATTGGATGACACCAAAGCAGACAGTTGTGAGACCAATGTCGACGAGAATATAGAGATGGAAGTGCTCAAGGAGCAGTCTATCATGCTTCCTGAATCCATGGAGAAGCAACCGCTGCCTCCGGAGAAGACAACACCTCAGAAAAAGGACAACAGTCGATTGGACAAGAGACCCTGGCACGCTTTGGTCAGTTATGTTGATGAGTTGACAGTTGGTGGTAGAAGAGACAGCAAGGGAAGGTACATCGATGGTCTGGGATCCTTTCCTGGATTCGGCAGAAACAAACCCGATAAAGTACCTCAGGACTGCTTTCCACAGCATTGCTATCAAAAGTAAGTCTTTCTCTCTGCTTTACTGGGACAATTCTACTTCATATTCGCAACTCGTTTTGTGGGTCAGTCGAAGATGGAAGAATTTTCAGTGTGAGAATCGTAGACCTGGAAAGAGTCAAATGCGTGCACGAGGATTCGATTTAACGCATTGTTAGGTTTTCTCGATTTAAGAGGAAATTACTATTCAAATTGGTGTGGAGGTATTTGGGTCAATGAGAAAAGTGGAGAGGATACTAAGGGATTCGAGGAAGAACTTGATTTTCATGCTGATTTTTCAGGGTGAAGGCGATCCAAGCTATTTTAGTAAAAAATATGAGCAATCAGAGTTCAATCGCTCATTTTTTTTTATTCTCACCGTGAAATTCCTCATATGGGAATTTAACATGTTTTTATCAGTTGATTGTAATAAAATTCTGGAAAAATTGAAATATGCAATAATGGATTCTTCTGATCGATTTTTAATTACCAAGAAAATAACTTCAAAAATCTAGTGAATTCAAATCCAGCGAATATTCTTCTTTCAATTTGTGTTTCATCTTCAATAAGAAAATGAAATTGTATTGACTGTTTTTATGGAATATTTTGTGTTGCTAATTGCATGTTTGTTCTGGGAATTTCTTTTTGCTCGTGTACTCGCGAATGGAAAAGTTTTTTAATAGTCTTCGAGGTCAGTGGTGCTGTACTTGGAAGTAATGGAAAAAATTCAGCGGATTTGAGTCTTTACGGACGGTCTCTCTACCAGAAGTTACACTTTCGAGTGAATCTCTACTTGAGTATTTTTTTTCCCCTCGGATTTTCAAGCGAATGCTTGCCTCACGGTCACCCATGCACTTAGCGACCGCTTTCCATGGTACTTAGCTTTTCACCTCAAGCCCGTCTGCCTTGGCAATGGGCTAGCCCTGATGGACATAATAGTGCATTATTCATAAGGGGAGGGAAACAGGTCATTCGAGACAAGTAGGTTTTACTCACACACACTAACGTATTATACAGTCGATGTGACACATTATTTCAATGCCCTGTTTTCCCTCCCAATTGCATACGCAATTTTAAATTCTTCAAGGACACCTTCTGACCTCGCCGATCACATTCATGCACTTTCGATTACCCAAAAATAGTGATAAAGGGGAGAAAAAAATTACATCAAATCGAAATAGTATATTATACATCAAGGGCGGAAAGTCAGTGTTTTCCAGCCCGATGTGCGCATGCTATTTTTTCAGCATGCCTGCAAAGAAAACTTCGTGTTTTGCTGTCTGCAAAGCGGGAGGAAAGTGAATACTTTCTGCCCGAGGGTGAAAAGGTGCTCCCAAGTCGGACAGTCTTGACTAGAGTCTAGATAATTTCGATTCCATCCACTTCATCATTAAAAACTATATTTGGCGGTTCGAAAGATTAATTTCAGTCAAGCAAGTCCCGAATTGAGATTTTGGAATTTATTCATTATTTCCATAACTTTTTTGTTCAGTTATCGTGAAAAACCTGATAGGACGATAAAAAAATTTTTAATCATGATAAAAACACGAAGATAACTAGAGTTCAATACTACATACATATAAAAATTTTAAAGAATGAATTTCACGGATGCACTAGCACCTAATCGGAGATGAAGTTCAAAAAAGGTATTGCACCATGCACACACACAAACGCACACACATTCACAGATGCGGTTTAAAAGTAGTATTTTTGGACTTCTTGAATGACATTGGATTGATACAACATAAAAAATAAGAAAGTTCAGAAGGAAAAAGCTTGGATCGCCTTAACTTTCACTTACTTGCACTAGAAGTGATAATTGATTTGGATTTGACAAAAAAAAATTGGTTTCGTCCAACATAATTGGAGGATTAAGCATCAAATTGGCAATGTACACCCAACTAATTGAATTTATTAATAGATGCAGCTGTATAAATCAATGTATCGCCACTGATCTGGGTAGAAAATGGATAAAATTACGAACAGCTGTACTCTCAGTCGTCGATACACCAGCATTTGAATGGATGATTCTCGTATTTATATTTTCATCATCCGTAACACTTTGTTTCGAGGATATTTATCTCGATGACAATCCATTTCTCAAGAATATATTGTACTGGACGAATCTTGCATTCTGCGCATTATTCAGCGTCGAGATGCTGCTCAAGTGGCTTGCCCTTGGATTTTGTAAATACTTCACCAGTTTCTGGACAATCCTGGATTTTATAATTGTTTTCGTAAGTTTACATCTGACGTATTTTATTTTATCAATTCATTTTCACCTGACACTAATTATTACTCTGAATAATTTTATTGAAATATGTCTCATTCTATTTTATATCAATCACAAACAAGGACACTGTTTTATCATTTTATTGTTCGTTGTCACTATTTTCTTTTTACATTATTATCAATGTACGATCAATGGTCGCATGTTATTCCGAGTCATTTATTAATTAGTCATGCAGCTTCATAATTAAAAGCAAGTGTCTAGCTGAGAGATCATAGAGATGTGTCGTAAGTGTTCATTATAAGGAATCACACGGTTTTATTCATTATTTCGGGGAAGAAGAGGTGAAATGGTCGGGGCAGTGTGAAAATTTCAGAATAAATCTTCCTTCACTCATGAAAATCATCGGATTTGGCATTAATTTTTGTTTTAGTTCTCACGATAATTTCGGAATGGTAACATTTTTTTAAAATTCAGATGCTGTGAAGATGTATTTTAAATTCTGAATGGACCATTTCACCACTTCACTCTCGATTATGTAACACAAATTTTCCTGAATGTTACGTTCTATGCGTGTTTCTGTGTTTGTGTGGCTTCCTGGACCCAGGTACGTCGATATTATACAAATCCTATCCCGCATCGTCCCATTTTCCGCGATTAAAGTTTTAATGTTCCGAAGCTCTTTTCAGTTAAATTCGAATGTGAATAACATTCATAATTCTCTCATTTTCTCTCTATTTGTTAACAACTGTGTGGTGGATTTTTCGATATTTTGTGAGAATTTATCAGTTATTATTTCGTTAATTGATTAATTCTGTGATGAAGTCGCAGGTACTAGACCTCAATGCGCATGTGAGATGATGGAAATTTTCAAATTTTCCCCAAAATTACTTCGACTTTAGTATTTAAACTCTGAGGGATATCCTCAAAATGATGCAAATATGGATAAGGAATTCAATCGTAAGCTAATTAAAATCAATAAAGTCGGGTATTAATAAAGTAAGTAAAATACCTTTCACGGTCCGCCAAAATTCACGTTTTTTTTTTTCATTTTTTAAGGTAAACTCGACGTCGTCATTATTCAATGATTCAATAAGTTTTTTCTTGAACTTTCAAAAAGAATCAAAAAAATTAAATAATAACAAAACGCAAAAAGTTATATTTGTTTCCACCAATCCCATCGATAACTTTGAAGGAAAAATACTTTAAATAACATGACTTCTGGTTAAAAATGTCATACATGCTTAAGCACCGATTGATCTTAAAAATCATTTTTTTCTGGAAGAAACACCAAAGAATATTTTTTTATAAAAAATGAATTAATCGTTGAAATCATGGTAACGTACATAGATGAATAATTAATTAAATTGAAAATAGATAAATTTGACTGATTGGAATTTACCCTTTGGTACGGAATTATCGCATCTCACATGCGCCATGCAGAATTGATTGATTCATCAAGAGCTTTTGTATTCATCACACAAATCATCATTTGATTGACGAAATTACGCATTGTTACAATGTCAGTGTTGTTATCACAGCTAACCGTGTTGCTAAGTAGTGGAATGAGTTATTGAATCTGTACAGTAAATTAATGAAACGTTGCTTAAGCTGTTTTAAAGAGTGATTGATTTTCCAACAGGTATCCATGTTTAGCCTTTTGATAGAAGAAAATGAAAACCTCAAAGTGCTGAGATCGTTGAGAACTCTTCGAGCCTTGAGACCACTCAGGGCAATCTCGAGATGGCAAGGCATGAGGGTAAGATTGTGCAAACAAGTGCTTTTAATATTTCTATTCCATAAGTAAATCATCCGTTCCGTAAACGATCCGCTCCCATTTTTTACAGTTCGTGGCATAATTTCTATTTTCCTCTCGCATTGGCGTCATATCCTGCCTACACATCTGAAAGCTCATTGAATAAACTCCAAAAAAATACGTGATTTATGTGATTCCCACTATTTTTCATGGAGTTATGGCGTTTTTAACATGAAAATAGGATTTCCACGTTTCACCTAATTCTCCAATTTGATTCCATTTTTCTGTATTTCCAGAACAAATTAATGGGAATATTGATATACCATTTTGAAGAACGTTTTATGATCCTCAAAATGGTAGCAGTTATATCCGATTCAGATGCGTATCTTTAGAGTTATTGAAATTCATCCATTTTTCATCTTTATGTCACGCTCTAAAATTCACGTTTATTCCTAATTATCGTAGCATTCAATATGATTTATGAACATATATTATGTTCATTCTTAATGTCTCAATGAGCTCTTTCGTTTAAATGTCCATAATATCGATAATAACATTTATTATCCTCGCAAATAGTCATGAATTTTATTTTCATGTACAAACTCTGAATAGGTGATGGAAAATAGCAAACGGGAAATACTAATTATAGAAAAAATATCTAATATTGAATTTTTCAATCAAAATATACACTAATAATTATATTCAGCATATATGTAATATATTATTTGTTTTTGCTAGATTATATGTGCTTATAATTAATTGATATTTCGTCTATAAATTCGTTTTCCACGCGAGCTGAATTTTTATTCTCCCTAATTCCTTCTCTACGTTCAATCGATTTTTACTCAAAGTGAAAAATAAACAACAAATTAGTCAAGCAAACAAATTTAATGATTGATATTTTCTTATTTAGATTGTAGTGAACGCGTTGATGTACGCAATACCCAGTATTTTCAACGTGCTCCTCGTTTGTCTCGTGTTCTGGCTGATATTCTCCATAATGGGAGTTCAATTCTTCGGTGGAAAGTTTTTCAAATGTTTGGACGAGTACGGCGAGCTTGTTGATATTTCGGTAAGTGAAACAATTGTTGAAGAAGTGGAACAACTCCCGAGCGTGGGAAAAGAAAAACTTTTCTCTCCACAAAGAAAGATAAATGAAATTTCACCCTCAGTTGACTATTCAACGGCTTCTCATTACAGATAGTGAACACGAGAAATGATTGCCTAACAAAGAATTACACTTGGGAAAACAGTAAAATAACTTTCGATCACGTTGGTATCGCTTATTTGGCACTATTCCAAGTCGCTACTTTCGAGGGCTGGATGGAAGTGATGGAGGACGCTGTAGATTCTAGAGGTGTTGATCTTCAACCGCAAAGAGAAGCTAACTTGTGGGCCTACATATATTTCGTTATATTTATCGTCTGTGGTTCCTTCTTCACACTCAATCTCTTCATCGGAGTAATCATTGATAATTTTAATATGCTGAAGAAGAAGGTAATCAAATTATATTAACTCCACAAGTTTACGCGGTAATTACACTCATGGGAAATTACACTTGAAATTTCCAACTAAATAAACTTGGAATTTTCAATAACCGACGAATCATTTAAGTTGTTGAATATTCTGGCCACTCTCAATTTTCAGATCGATATGGCACTGGAGAATAGCATGTAAAAATTTTTGAAAATCAACAGATATTTAAGTAACAAAACCAATTGTCTGGAATTTTCAAGATAAATGAGACATTGAGTGTTTGTTTTTAATTGAAATTCAATTCAAACTCATAATTAAATATTTTAATGACTTTGTAATCGGAATTCCAAGGAATTTTCAACAGTATAGATATTCTGCCTTTTTTTTGTACTTATAATTGTAAGAAACGGCTCATATAATGGCGGATTTAATTGATTTCGTAAACACATAAATTTAGTAATTCTTAGGCTTTAGTATGTACGATAGCCTCTTTCGTTTCCTTCTTAAGGTAAATGATTTGTATAATTCATACAAATTCGGTTAGATATTCAATTCAATTGAATCTATTTTTTGCAGAAATTCTGTTAACAATTATGCACCATCTATTGCCGATAACTTTCCACACAACCAACAAGTGGCCCACCATTATTCGATTTCTCTAATTTTTCACTTTAGTACTGAAACTTGAGGCGAATTATGAGAAATTAAGATGTCACTCACTATGTAACAATTCTCACCATCGATTTTTCTCCTTTCAGTACGAGGGTGGCGTGTTAGAAATGTTTCTGACCGAGAGTCAGAAGCACTACTACACAGCCATGAAAAAGCTCGGTCGTAAAAAACCACAAAAAGTCATAAAACGTCCGCTGAATCAATTCCTAGCCATGTTCTACGACTTGTCCAACTCGAGAAGGTAATACATTTATTAACTACCTTTCTCTACGCTCCTTACTGGCTTCTTTGTCCTCTCCGGTTCATTCTGCTCTCATCCACGACGTGCTGAATGTAATGATTATGGTTTAACTATATCTGCTGAAGAAAATTGGAGTTTGAAGAATAAAATTAGTAGGAAATTAACGGTTTTTAATTGAATGAATTTTAGAAGAGTATTAATTAGAAGAATAAAATGATATCCTTTTCTTGTTTTTATTTTCAACGCTTTTATGTTGATTATTAAAAGGGTTGGAGGCACTCATAGTGTGATTCTATGATTAATGAAATTGTATTTTTCACGCCTAGGACGGAAAAAGTGAATCTGACCAACGCGGCTTTATAGTCCGGGCCGAAGGCGAGAATTATAACGTGCATGAGTCAGAATTTGACTTTTTTCGTGGCTATGATGCTATTTTATGTCATTGTGGCCGAAAACGCGTTTTTAGCCGAGCGAAGCAATGACATAAAGAAAATTTCTTATATTATCCTCTATAGAATATAGCCATAATCAAATTTTCCTGAATATATCCTCCCATCTCAATATAAATAATATTCATTATTGGGGCAGTGTTATCTCCTTCGAATAAATAACGCAAATGTACGGCTTTTTATGAACCGAAACCGATAGTGAAAGTGAAAATAGAAAAGTGAATATTTCTCTTTCTTCTATCTTCACTCCTTCAGTAGTTAGCTTAGGCGAGAATTTGAAGTGTTTGGATTGTAATTAGTAGTATTAGGTTGTGAATGAACAGAATGGGGAGTGGGGGGCTAAAATTCTTTATATAATTCTCTATGGATAAAATCTATGCAAACAATTTTCTGAATTTTTGCTCAGGGATTCATACAGACAATATTCATAATTGAAAAAATGTGATTTCTGCGGAAATGGGTGGGCAGGGAGGGAGTAATATCTCGTATGTTTCAGATTCGAAATAGCGATCTTCGTCTTGATATTTTTAAATATGCTGACAATGGGAATAGAGCATTACAATCAGCCACACCCAATATTCTTCCTTCTGGAAGTGTCCAATGCATTTTTTACAACGGTATTTGGACTTGAAGCAATCGTGAAGATAATTGGACTGCGTTATCACTACTTCACTGTACCCTGGAATCTGTTTGATTTTCTACTGGTTCTTGCATCGATACTTGGAATACTCATGGAGGACATAATGATTGATTTTCCCGTGTCCCCGACGCTCCTGCGAGTCGTGAGGGTGTTCAGAATCGGACGGATACTGAGACTTATCAAAGCAGCCAAAGGAATAAGAAAACTTTTGTTCGCACTTGTCGTCAGTTTGCCGGCTCTCTTCAATATTGGGGCATTACTTGCTCTTATCACGTTCATATATGCCATTATCGGCATGTCAGTTTTTGGACATGTGAGGAAGCAGGGTGCACTCGATGACATGGTGAGTCCTCCATTAATCACTCCAGACACAATTACTCAGTCCAAGCAATGATTAGTGCAAACGTAAAGAAATAAATCAGAACATTACACTGAGAAAATCAAAGCGCTGATCAAGTATTTGTGCGTTCGTCATCATCCAATCTTCTTTCCTTGATTCAACCCCAAAATGACTCGAGCTAATAGGTTCCTGTTATGATAAAAATACGCACACACTTGAATATGGTTTTCGTCTCTTTTTGTTATCGTATCACGATTTGAATGTCCATCTACTTGATTAAAGTACGAACAGAATTAATCCAAATACGTAATCGATTCGATTAGAATTTTCGAAAATCAAAGGAACGTTTATGCCATAAGTTTGCAATTTTGTGAAAAAGATTCAAGAACCAGTCTGGTTGCTAACGAGAACAAGTTGTTTGGAAAATTCACTCAAGAACGTACGTGTGGGAGCCAAGTTTTTTTGTAGAGTATCGTAATTTATTACCATCATTCATTTTTTCAACTTGCTTTCTGTAGTTAAATGATTTTCAAGATAAATTTCGAAGTAGTTTTTTGGTGCAACCCTTTGCAACCACATCAAAGATTAAATCGCTCATAATCTCTCTTTCTGCTTGGTCCGTCCGCCCCGAGGTACTCTGTTTGTTCTGGATTGTAAAGCGCTCCGTTATTTCATCTTCCATAGAAGATTTCCAAAGAAATGTTTATTTAGGGAATGGGAAATAGTTTGGGTAAATATTGAAAGAAAATACTCTCCAAGAAACGAGAGGCTTGTCACAATTTTTTTTTGATTGATGTGACGAAGGCTCGAGCAAATTGGAAGATTCTCCAAACAGAAGTGAATAATCTGCAACTCATTGAAACTCCTATTGAATTATTCATTCTTGTTGGAATCTACGTTCATTACGAGATTCGACCATTGATTATATCGAAGTCAAACGAGTTGTTCACTGAATTATTCAGCCTTGTTTGAAAAATCTCTTCGTTCGCTTCCACTTTCTAAAGCTTCACGCCATCATTCCGGAAAAAGTTGACGCCAAGACTTATTCCTTTTAGACATTGTTTGTTCTTCAGCTTTGGATTGCAAAAGTTGCTATACATCCTAACAAAGTCCTGTATTTCACTTTTATTCTTTAAAACGGCCGAGTTTTTATGACACGCTCAGATGGAGATTTTTATTGGCATTAGGTAGTTCTCCCTATATAAAAACCATTAAACTTTTTACATTGGACTGATCAAACCTTCAACTAGGGAGATATCAGTCAAGTGCATTGTAGATTTTTCATTATAGATTTTTTTTTTTAATGGAGAATTTCGACAGCTCAAGCATAAAACACTCCGTGAACAAAAAATGAATTGCAACAGAATCTTTTGCAGAAAGAGCTCAATTATTCTATTGATTTTTTTTCACGTGTATTGATTAATATAAACATAAAAGTTTTGGAAAGATTGAAGCGAATTAGTTCTACGGGAAGATAAAGTTGAATGACCGAACCGAATAATCTATAACAATTAATCTCCATCTTTATGGGATTATGAAAACTTCAAATGGTTTTCGATGCGAGAACACTATTACTAGTACTACACTATAATTTATTGAAGTCATACATTGTGAAAAATTGCGATTACATAACGATGAGCTACAACAATCATAAGAATTATTTCAACATAATTACCGTTTCAGTATGTCTGTGTGATGCATTTAATATCGTTGCAAAAGCCATCGTAAATCTAGATTTAATAAATAAATAGTAATCAGTTATCACAGTTTCTGAAATAGTTTTTCAAACACTGAAGCAAATGTTAGTTTTTTTGTACTTACTTATCTTGTAGGAGTGACTCTTATTGTGTCCGAACGTGATTCCATTGAATCAATGGATCCCCTCAAGACATGAAATTAATCATTTCGCCCTAAAAAAAATTAATTGAAAGGTTTATAAACACTAATTGCCGAATAAACTGACCCATGTTGTATTATCCTTAGTAATTGATACATTAATTGTGATTAAAGGTGAATTTTGAGACCTTTGGTCGGAGCATGCAGCTGTTGTTTCGCTTGATGACGTCGGCAGGGTGGAATGACGTCCTGGAGTCTCTAATGGTTCAACCGCCGGACTGCGATCCCACCCCAACCAGCCGGCAGTTGAACGGAGACTGCGGATATCCACTCCTAGCCATCACATACTTCACGTCTTTTATAATCATCAGCTACATGATTGTTATCAACATGTACATCGCTATTATCCTGGAAAATTTCAACCAGGCGCACCAAGAAGAAGAGATCGGCATTGTCGAGGATGACTTGGAGATGTTTTACATAAGATGGTCCAAGTAAGAAAGCCTTTCTCAAACTAAATCCACGGATCTCCTTGATTCGGATAAATTTATGGTGAAAGTTTGGATTTTACGGTGGGCATCATAGGTGATGGATCGTAAAGACGATAAGAGATGAGAGTAGAGTAGGGGATACGTCACCCGCCACTCGAGAGTCCATAAAATTCGGGTGGAAAAGGCTCTGACGTATGGGACAGGTCGATTTTATTATAAAGAGAGAAACTGTGGCAGCACGAATGAAGGCAATCAGATTATTCGGTTTATTTTACGAAAAAGGGGTATTGATAAGGGTTTTGTTGATAATGAGGAAAATATAGCGCCGTGGTTTCCGATTCAATTTGCTTCGCAAATGTTCCGCCAATATTTCTAGTGAATTCATAAATCTGTCTGCTGATCAACATCCTCGTTACTGCGTAGAAAAGAGCATTTGAAAAGAACGGAACGACCGGAACAGATCCATCATTTGATGGAAATACAAGTGGATGGAAAAGAAATTGACTGTAATGCTATTCGCTGTTTCGAATAGTTCTGTACTTCATTGCTGGTTGTAAAATAAAAACTAGGCGAATGAACAATTAGAATTCGTGAGGGAAATAAAAAGAACTTTTGAGTGAAAAAATTTTTTCTGGTGATTGCCATAAAATTGAAATGATAACGTATCTTCCTTATATTGGTTGTATCCTCAATCCATCAAAAATTAAATTATATATCGGTAAATAATGAACGTGAATTAATGGACTTAATTTTTCATTGGGATTGTGGTTACCAGTATCTGATTGTAAATAAACCGAAAATCCTTTATATTGTTTTCTATGCAAAATATCTACGCAAAAAAATGTTCGATTGCATGATCAGAACTCGATATAAATAATATTCATAGCTTAAAAAGAATTACGTTATTAGAGAAAATGGTTGCCATAAAATTGAAATGATAACGTATCTTTCTTATATTGATTTTATCCTCAATCCATCAAAAATTTAATTACATATCGGTAAATAATGAACGTGAATTAATGGACTCAATTTTTTTATTGGGATTGTGGTTACCAGTACCTGATTGTAAATAAACCGAAAATCCTTTATATTGTTTTCTATGGAAAATATCTACGTAAAAAAATATTCGATTTCATGATCAGAACTCGATATAAATAATATTCATAACTTTAAAAGAATTACGTCATTAGAGAAAATGACAAAAAATCACGGTTTTTAGTTGACGGAAGTCGATAGGGACACTAAAACAAGATATTTTTCTGACTATTATCTTCATTTCGTCAGTACTTAGGTTAGAAAGAGCATTAAAAGTATCCGGTTTGTGGATAGCAGTATGTGATTATAAATGATAATTTTTTATTATTCCTTCAATCATTTATTTTTCAAAATTGATAAATATCTCCCTAAATAATGGCAATGGGTAAATGGACTCCACTTTTAATGAAGATGAAATGATCATCATTTCATTTTTCAGTTGATAATTTTTTGAAATAGCAAATTCCGATTTTTAATGGACATTTTTAAAATAATGTGGTTAAATAAATATTTTCATGTACAATTGAATCTGTTACAGATATGATCCCCATGCAACTCAATTTATACGCTTCTCCCAACTGAGTGATTTCATCGCAAGCTTAGACCCACCTTTGGGAATATCAAAGCCCAATGTTGTTGCGTTGGTGAGCTTTAATCTTCCTATAGCCAAGGGCAACAAGATACATTGTCTGGACATCCTTCACGCTCTCGTCAAGCACGTACTCGGACACGTCGAGGAGTCGGAAGATTTTCGTAAACTCCAGGAACAGATGGATGGAAAATTCAAGAAACAATTTCCAACGAGAAAGGAATTGGAAATTGTTTCCTCGACGAGACTTTGGAAGAGGCAGGACAAAGCTGCCAGGCTCATACAACGTACATTCCGTGAATATATAGCGTAAGTTAATGAGGACATGTTTTTAATGGTACAAAGTTGCAGATTGCTTTAGGCCACTTTGAAGGCATTTGAAGGCTTTAATATCATTTGTTGGGCTCATTTCCGAATGATTGAAGAGCTTTCAGAAATTCTGCAGTCTAGTCTACATCAACCTTGTTAATTACTAGAATAATCATTATTAATTGAGCTTGGACTTGCTAAACAGCTCAGCTTAAACGCTGAGTCAAGTGAATTCAATCTTAAGGGCTTGATCTAAGAGATTTTATCAATTTTTTAAAATTAGAGTTTATTGGGACTATATTAGCATTGTCGACCAAGAGTTCGTGATCCGGATTTTTTCGCATAAATCTTTAGACGTTAATTTTTTATACCTCTTTCATGGTAGTTTATGAGAATAATTATTTGTCTTCTATATAGTTTAGTTTATAGTACAGCTTCTATATGATTTACCTAAATTCATCATTATTAATTAGCTCAGATTCGTTCAGAAATTATTGACCGAATCAGAGGATTCACATAATTTTGCTTGAACTTAGGGATGTTCCACACCCATATATAGCAAAAATTCACGTTTTCTTAATTTATTAGCCAAAAACTATAAAATATAAAGTTTTAGCGCTTTGTCGTTATTTAATAACTCGCGATGTTTTGTGGTGATGCGATCAGATTCATGTATTTTCTCTACAGTTTGATAATTTTTTGTGATTCTTTTTAGAATTTTAGAAAAAACGCAGAAAAATGCTCGCACCACCTTGAAATTCCGTGAGTCATTAAATAATGACAAAACGCACCAAAGTTATATTTTTTACGTCTATCCCATACTAAGTTTGTCAGAAAAAAAGAAAAAACCTTAATTTTGGCTATATATGGGTGTAGGACACCCTTAAAAATCGAGGAACAATTTTATTAAAGAATTCAACCGAAATTCCCTGTCACTCTGTGCGTATTAAAACTAAAAATTTTTTGTTCCTTAAAATTTCAAGTGCAGAGTAAATCGGGTAAATTGTTAAATTTCAGAATGAAAAAAGAGAGAGAGAGAATAGCTCACGAGGTGGATTCTCAGACTCAAACATCTAGCCCGGGTGGTATGGGAAGCGATGGCAGAGGCGGTGGGTGGGGTGGTAAGCTTTCGGCTCTTCTCCACGTACATCGGGGCAGTCGGGCCAGTAGCCGCAAGTCCTCGAGGGCCAGCGACGCCAGCGATCTCAGCGAGTTAGGAACAGCATCTGCATGGCTATTTCCAAATCTTCCACTCTTGCTGCTCTCCGGCGCCACAGGTACCCATGAGGACCTGCAGCCCCCCGCCTTAACCGTATCCCGTCCCTCGCCAACCATGGAACAACCCTCCGCCATGTCTGCCACCTCCAGCTCTGGCTCAGACTCTCATGTCACTGTCAGGTGAGTTTATTTTTTATTCACCTCCCCCTCCCCTTCCCGCTCCATCAGCTGCACCAGTCCTTTGCATATTTCGTGATTAATTCAGTAGAGAAGTCAATATTATTATTCATATTTCATCGTTTTAATCAAGTAATAAAAACACAAAATTGTGATGTGTCCCAGATTATCTAATTGATATCATAGAATAATACAATAATTTTATGGAATAATGCAATTGTAGAGAAATTAAGAGTCAGCATTGTATTATGCCCTGGAATTGAGGCAAGTGTGCCACAGTTTTAAGATAAAAGCAGAGACACTATAGTCGCTAGTATGAGGATTTCGAGTAATGGACATCAACCAAAAAAATTGAAACCTCTCCCCCAAGTTGTTCATTAACATGGCTAACTGTAGGGAAAGCTAGTGAATACTTATCCTCAGAGTTTCGTGCGGTAATGGTATAGTACCAGTTTCAGCCCTGGGGGTTTTCTATGTATTTTATCCTGTTGTTTTTGAGGTAGTAGGTCAGCTACTAGAATGGACGTTTGAATCAGGAAAATTCATTCGAAAGATAAACTTCTTCCAGTGGAAAATGTCTCGACAATTCACATTGTGAAAATAATTCAAGTTACCAGCGGACAAGATAATTTTCTTCGACTTCGGTCGTAAAGAAACAATAATTCATTTCGTAATTTTCCGTCATAACAAAAAACTGAATGTGAAGGGAAATTGATTGTCGTTGAATTATTTATCCTGGTATGAGAAAGAAATGTCGAAGAAACGTCACATGGAACGTTTTCTCTCATTCTCCTCATTTGAAAATATTCCATTGAGAAATCTGGAAATTTTTCTCATTTTTTGATATTTCTATTCGAAATCGCCTTGAGATTTTATAAAAAATAATTTAACTGTATCGGTAGTTCATTGATATAATAAAAGTATCAACCGTTTAATTACTCACCTAAAAATATACTAATTCTATTAGATACGCAATGAAAGAAAGTCCATAGATTTTTCTTTTTCTTATTGAGATTCCCTCCTCAGTTTTACGACATTAAGACGATTGAGCACTGATTTTATCGTTTTTATTTTGCGTTATTGATTTGTTTCCATAAAAATATTAGATCTAATCTCCCTAGAATTTCTAGAGTCATCACGAAGTTTTTTCATTCAATTATTTTATCCGGATTTCTAAAATCCTTAGTTTTCTCACACGGAAAAAATATATATCCAGAAATATATATCCATTATATCCGAATACATGTCGCATAGATTTCCGCAAAAAATGTATTATCCGAGGTATATTTCGAATATATCTCACCTCATAAATTGAATATATTTAATATATAATTCCGTCAATAAACCTATATCTCAGTTATAATTTTGGGCTTATATCTTTTTCCCTGCGGCTAAGCTTCACTACTGAACTAAACATTAAATATGACTGACTTAATAATTTTTAAATTATTTATTATGTAAGTAAAAATTGATTAAATGGTCCACTTTGTTTCATTTACAAATGTCAAACACTCAAGGCAGTTAAGTGACTAGGTAAACAGATTCAACGAAAGTTTGAGAAGGAACGAGAGTTGTTATGAAGTTTACTGTTATAATTATTGATAATGTTATCTTCAGTCGTTGGAATAGAAGGCAACGGCGTCTGTGGCAACCCGTAACTACTTGCACGACTCTTTCTACTTAAAGTGAGCGCATGGTGCTTTGAACGTTATAAGCTCTTAGATAGTACCTTTTTTACAATAAATTCGTTAAACCATAGTGAAAGAATATAAATAGTCTCAAGGACAATAAAATTTCATCATCCCATTTACTGAATTATTCATAGAAGTTTGGGATCATCAAGAGAAAATCTTTTTTTTCCCCTCAGTCTTTTTTCAGTCAGTTGGAACTTGCACTAAAACATTTTCATTTGACAATAAAGACCTGATGGATTCGTAATAAAAATTTAAGAGACAGAGTGTTTCTCATTGAGATGCTTTTTCATTGCCGCAAGTAATTACGGGTTCACTAGGTTTTACGTTTATTTTAGTGGGTAAATACGAGAATTCTAGCTATTCTTTATTTTTATTACTTTATGACCTTCACTTTTTTATGATGATAAATAATCTCTCTTTCTTTATAATTAAACGAGAATTTATTCTTGAGTAGACAGTTGGATATAAAGCTTCCTCTTTCCTAGGCGATAGTTAAAATAATAAAACTTACAGTAGTACGACGAGAGATAGAAATTCCAGTTGAAAAATTGGAAAGTGAGATGAGTAGAATTTACTAGTTTTACTGAATAGCTATTTATCTCAAAAATTATTAATTTTGGAAGGAAATATCAAGAGACCTTTTCTGTTGGAGATTCAATCAGCTAAAAATAAACCCTCTGGTATTTCCACCTAAAATCGATCGTTTCAGAGATAAAAATAATAGTTGAAGAACATGGTAAATTCAACTTATCTCATCCTACCATTTCGCTACAGAATTAATATAATAACATTTTAGACTGCTGAATACTGATGTTTTAGATGATTTTTGAGTGTTATAGGTAATTGTTGCAAAATTACGATGACTGTAGACGGAATACAGGAGAATGATTCATTTAAATCAGAATAATACTGTGAGGCCTTTATTTATACACAGGATCTAATTAAATCCGAAAATTTTCTAAAAAAAATCGGAATTAAACTGACATAATGCTGAGTAAAAATTATAATTGTTCAACCAATTTGTGCTCAATGCTATGTAATTTTACTCAGATTTTGTGATCGAGAATTTAACTAAAAAACTACCACTGACCATTGATCAAATAAATTCCTGCCCTGAATCCAGATATCATGAGAAACTGATTTAAATGCAGAGCATTCTCCGGAGAGATAATGAAGTCGAACTTTGAGTGCTTTAACATGAAAATAAAAACATTCCAGATCATCGGGTGCGACTCTAGGTCGTCAGGACGCTGTGGAATCCTATGCAGATGACGACGCCCTGAGTCCCCCGACGTCGAAACGAGGTTCGTTGAGACCTAGTGGCACTGCCCTATCGCTCAATATGCTCCAACGAGACATAAAAGACGCATTCACGAGGAGATGTAGTAGCCTTCGACGAAGATCAGCAGTTCCAAGTCCTCTGGCCCACGAACCAGCACCTCTCAGAATACCTGATCGCAGTGACGTCAGTATCCTTGTGACTGAACCGAGTCCTGAGAATACGATACCCTCGGGACGACCTCCATTGCTCAGGCAACAGTCAGAGGCAACTGTTGTTCATGTTCTTGTACATCGGGAGAGCGAGGAGTACCAGGAAACACCTGATGACAGCTGATCGTAGCGTCCTCAAGGACATCACTGTCACGGAATTATTTTCATCGTCTTTAAAGATATTTGTCGATTCTCTGCTTTGTTCATTGCTGGAAGAAAAGTCTCGATTTTTTTTGTCTGAATAAAACGATGTCTCGTCATTCCATTTTTATGTGATACCTCAGATGTAATTATTTATAAAAATCCAAAATGTTTATTGAAGTGTGGTAGCAGTTTATGGCAGGATATTTTTTTACTTTTAGGATTTTTGTTGTGAGGATTTTTTGGAGGCAATTGACCGACTATAACCCTTTGATCTATATTTTTTCGTGTAGAATTAACTGTATTTCTGTGTTATTGACGTGATGCTGTTGATGACAATTGACGAATTGAATTGAGATTTTTCTTCCATCCCAAAATGAGCAAAAAAATACGCGTTATTTGCCCTTTTTCTCAAGACGCCTCCGAGTCTTCCGCCAACTTTATAATCTCTTATCCTTTTTCATTTTAAAACATATAATCAGCGAGGATATTTCAAAAGACATCTTAATTTTTTCATATAAAATTAGATGAGAGCCTGATAAACGTTACTGCCTCGTAGAGTGAAAGCACACGAGCATCTGGAAAATGACTCGTAATTCCGGGGAAGCGTTCAGTAAATCCCAGTGATGAGTGCATAAAAAATTCAATAGAGTTTTTATCTACTTGCAATTAGAGTCAATTGCGGAAATCGTTACGTCGGAATTGCGAGAGATCTCCTAGTGATGTCTCTAATCCATTAGATTTTAATGAACAAATAAAACAACAACCGAAAGCTTGATTTGATTGAAGTTAATGATAGTGACGCATTTGCATGGAAAACAAAAGCGAATTTAGAAAATTTGAATTTATCGTTATTGAATTAACGCAGTTAAGTAGGTGTAGGCACATTTAGGGCGGTGGGAGGAATATTAAATTAATGGTATCGTCGCTCCATTGATGATAACGATTCATTATCAAAGTTGCTCCCATAATATCTCTGGAAAATTAACATTTTACTCATCACCTGAACTCATTTCCCAATATGTTGTAGATATCTCAAAAATTCAGGGGAGAAATAATAGTCGAATTGCAGGTATAGAAAATTTTATTTGACAAAAATCATAATTGGGAAAATGGGAAAGGTGATGATTAGGAAAGAAAAATAAAAAAATGATCTGATCAGATGAAAAAAAAATCAGGAGAAGAGTGAGATGTTCAACATGAAAAACATTTTTCAAATAATATTCTATTTTACCTCATTTTTTATGGCAAAACAAAAGATTTTTTTCATATTTTGTGAGTAAACGATTGGCTGATGCAGTTGAGATTTTTTTTTCAACCAAAAAATATCTTCCAAATGGGAAAAAGATCGTAGAAAAATTTAATGAATTCGCTGCATAATTCTATCAGATTTTGTCAATTTTGTTCAATTATTTTGAAATTTTCGATAGAAAATATTTCAATCAAATAAATTATGTGAAAATAAAACAAGGACTAATTCAAATCAATACGATATATTAACGAATTCACTCTATTCTCGTAATAAATTCTTTGAACGTTTCAAATTACTCAATTTGCGAAATATTTGCGAAATATTTCCGCAACTAAAAGAGATAGCATAATTTCTGTAATGACCTTATTTGTACCTCTTAATTAGTTCTACAAACGAGGTCTTAACAATAATTCCACTATCCCCCTTAATTTATAAGATATTTTGGAAAAAATCGAAAAAATATATCACAGGAAATGTATAGATACAAAAAATGACAGCAATGACCTGAAATATTTCCTTATCATCAATGATTTGACAATATCCGACACATGTATTATAAAATATAAGTCAATTAATGATATCTGTTACATGGAAAACCTAGTTGAATACCTGTAATGAATGGAAAAACATCACCGTAAGCTTCCAAAAATTGGAAGCAAAAAATCTATAAATGGAATGATATTTAAATGAAACTAGAAACAACTGTACAATCATAAACGCGGGTGCCTTAATAGCACCCATACTCTATTATTGTAGATAATGATCTCGTGTCGCGATAAATATCTAAAACCATCCCACTATTACCACCGAGATATTGATAACTATAAATAATTAAAATTAAATTCATTAGACTCAATCAATGAAATTTGACACGAAATTAATGCGCTGATTACTACTGTTCAAACGATTGAAGAATGTGGAGGATAATTGCATCAATTATTTATTCAATTAATCAAATTAAACCTGAAAATGCGTGAAAAAAAAACCATTGATGCAAAATAACAAATAGCTAATGCTTCGTTTTATTCGCATTTTAAAACTCATTTATAAATTTCATAATAAATAAATTAATATTTACGACTTGACTATACTTCGAATAATTGGAATGAAATTATTACGATAACAATTATTACGAGAATGCCAGAATTTTTTACGACTGTTTGAATATAATGACAAATGTATCGAAGCAAATCTCATTAGTGAAAGAGAGTAACAATTAATGCGCAATTAAAACTACAAAAATATGAGCTTTCGAATGAATTACTAGGTGCGTACGAACAAGTCACATTTTGTAAATAATATTAACGTGTATGCTATACACAATACGTTAGAAAAAAAACACGTGGAAAAAAAAACATTAAAAAACAGGGGATTATTAATTAGATTTAAATACTCTGAGTATAGCATATCAACGAAGAATAATAGAGAATAATAATAAAAGTGCAAATATAGCCCCTAGATTACTCACGAAATTATTATTGTGCACTAAACATTTTTTGCAATGATTTAAAATACACGAGTGATGGGGGGGACATTTTAACATACACAGAGGCACGAGAATTTGTTATGAATTTATTCGTCATTAAGTAATTTATTCGATAAATAGTGGAAATTATCTTTTTCTCCAATTGTTAGCATGAGGAAAATGTTAGTTGCTCGCCATTTTCAGATGATTCAAGGGAGATTAATGAAAGAGAAGTTAAAAACCAGGGAAATTACGAAAAAGGGACTCACTGTATCTTTCGAGAGACTGAATTATTTGTCTGGAGAGATTCAGCTTTCATTCTTCCATAATCATTAATAAATTTTAGAAGGTGAAGAATGGGGATGTCTTGTTAAAAAAATATGGAGTCATATTGCTCTTCATATCATTAGTTCACGCCATTTTTTGCGATTTTTTTAATCGCAGATTTTTTTGCAAATGCTATTTACAAGAAAAATCATTGACCAGGAAAACCTCCGTAATTGATCTAATTTTTTCAGGAAGATAAATCCCAGAATATTTGCAAAATAATCTGCGATTTTGTCGTCAATAAAAAATGAATCAGCGCCCAGTGTGTTTTATGCTTATTTCGTCAAGGGAATTATTCATTAACTAATTCCCAAACCTCAAACCAGAATTGAAACATACTGCAATTTTTTTTAATTTTCTCTCTTCCAAAAATGAAAGAGTCATTCAGTTATTTTCATAATGTTAATTTAAGAGGATGTGATGAATGGTTTCCTTGACGAATGTTAAAATTATATAAATCGTCATTGACAATATTAATCGCTCGAACTGTAAAATAAAGTAATATTAAGACCAATGTATCGGGTGGCTTCGCGAATAAACCGACAGACTCAACAGCAAAGTCAGAAACTCAATGAGAAGAATTAATTTAAACAAAATGGACAATCGGATTGCTACGTAACCACCTCGTACATCGCGATCTACAATCAATGGCCTATGTAAAGCGTTAGTATGAAGTGGCATTAATTAATGTCTCCAATAAAACAATTAACTAAACAAAAAAAAAACATTACGTAAACTTAAGTAGACGTTTAATGTTTTCATATTGTTCCACGGTTGAGCATAAATTCACACTGTGGAATGAATAATTTAATTGAAGAATAGAAAAAACGTATTGCGCCCACCACTCAATTGAAGAGAAAAATATGAGAATGAATAAGTAAATAACAATGGAGAAAACGAAAGAGAAAATTTTTATTTTGACCGTTGATTAATGAGAAACGGGACTCAAGTTTTCGTGATAATATTGAACATATACTTACGGTTAACTAATAAATAAGCGTATGAGTTTTAGTATGAAGGAGAATCGAGCGAGAGATAGAAAAAAAAATCCAACAAAACTTTGAATTTTATTAATTAAAGGAATTCATTAATGCGACGCTGTGGATTGTTGCTTTCGACACTTGTTCCTTCCCTTGATTAGATATAAATCCTTCACTTCAACCCCCCGAGATCATAAAGAGGAAACTTAATTACCGCTGAGACAATTTTTTGAAATTTTTGGACTATAATTAAACTATAAAATAAACTTATGGTAATTCGTGATTGTGGAACGCATTGTGTGCTCGATCGCGCTATCCACAACTGTCAAGAATGTCTATTGTATCCCTAGAGGCATGATGAGAACTTGATTTTAAAAAACATGTAAAATAGTAAGCAACATCAAGTCCAATGATGAGACAGAATAAAATAAATTATAATCAAATTTATATCCATTCTTATTCCCCAAGTCGACCTGCACTCAAATTTTCTGTAGAATTTCAAGTGTCAAAGATTTTATAAATATTCACTTGATTTAAATTTACGGATTAAAACATACGGATTTTCAATGTCTCGAACGACGTTTTTCTTTAAAATTTACAAGCTTTTTCACTTAATTTGTTGCTTCTCTTATTGTAAAATGTCAATGGAAGAATTTCAAGATAGTCGTTTTTGAACTCCGATATTAACTAAATCGTCAGTTAGTAGCAAGAGTAATTTTTTGATTCAATTAACTATTTTAATTGAGAGCGAATCTAAAATTTATCCTGTGAAAGAACAAAAATTGATTTTTGGATTTCTCCAGTCTGACAATCTATCATCTATCATCTATCGTTGGTTCATGAAAAAAAAATGAAACATAATGAAAAAATTAATTTAAAAAGTTGTACAAAAAAGTCACTTTTACCCTCAAAAATTCTGGAGAGTTTTTTTTTTACTTCCATATTTTTCCCGGATATTCCTATCATATTTTGCTAGAATTTTACGATTCTCCTCTAAGTAGTCTATTACATCCTGCATTAAAAAAAAATTGGATACACTAATAAACACCCGCGAAATTTGAATTACCTCCAACGCCTAGCGGTCGAAGTTGAAAAGAATCTATGCGTAACATAATTTCACAGGTCGATTTTTTCGGAAAATCGTTTGTAAATTGTTGAAAAATTGCTGAGAATTCACGATAATAAGCAATACAGAGAAAAATCTTGGCTATTCAGTCAAATATTTGCAGAGAAAGTCTTATCGACTGTCGGCAGCGATTGATCGCGTATGAAAATTCACCTTTCGCAGTCTCGAATTCGGAGTGAAATCGAGTGCCCGGTTGTTAACAATGAGTGACGGAAAGGAGAATGATGTGTCCTGGGCATTAAAAATTCTAGAAAGAGAGCCTGATTACATCGAGAGTGTCTGGACGAGGTATTTTCATCAAGGATGGTGTACCATATTCGGAGTTTTGATTCCAATATCCGGGAATTACATGTTCAAGAGACCACTGTGGGCAGGTAAATCCATTTTTTTCACATTTCCTTCGTTACTAACATTGAAAAACATAACAAAAGTATTAACTAAACTATAAAAGCACCATTTCGTTGAATATAAGCATCTGACATTCATTCTCGGAGTGAAATTACGAGGGGAGTTGCTTCTGGAAAACATAACCTCACTAATCGTTATGCAATAGTACTTTTATATTTCAAAAGTCAAAATTTTCAATTGGATCTGTTATATTATTGGTTATATTAAGCTATCTCTCTATTCTATCCACAATTCAGTTTTTTCTATTGACAATTTCATTAATTCATGAATGATTTTTTTTTACTGTCACTGTTACAGTAAATAATGTGGAATTTTCAAGGATCTGTGATTCTGAAAGAGGTAACGAAATTTTTGTCGAACCTCTTTTGTAGGGTTAATGAGAGCTACAAAAAGGGTCTCTACAATAATTTCTCTAACTCTCAGATTCCGAGATATTTTACGAAAATTTACCTCTAACTAAATTAACTTGTTACTCTTTTACTGTTCGATTTCTCTTTAATTTTCTTGATGAATATGCCTCTTCTCCTCTTTTGTATTATCGTTTTCATTATTAATAATCTCTTTTTTTCATAATTCGAATTAATAGTGAGGGCAAGCGGAAATATTTTATGGTGGAAATTAAAAATTGAATATTTCCATACGTTAATAATTTTCGGATTTTTTTTCTTCTAGGAATTCAATCTCACATTACCCTGGGAATCATTGGCTTAGGGGTTGGAACGTATTTGAGGGGACGTGAGATAAGAATTCTTGGAGAAAGGGATGCTCTCCTGAGAGACTACATTATTCGCCATCCTGAAGATTTCCCACCTCCTGGTGCGTATCCCCTTCACATTTTATCGTGAAACCCATTTTTTTCAAGACGAATTGATATTTAACAAACGATATCTGATCGCTAAGAGTTGAAAAAAAATTCAAGTCTAAGATTATTAATGAAGATTTTTGCTTAATCCCAATTGAATTTGAATTTGTATAACAATATCTAAAGAATTCTTGGACATGATTTTTATATTTATTCGGTATGTTTCATTATGACCAATAAATAATGACACAGCCAGGCAAGAAATCAATCAATGGTTACAATTCTCCTTGTTAATTTTTTTAATTTTCAGACCGCAAGAAATGGGGCGAAGTGCTAGCTCACTGGGTGCCAATGCGTTAGATCAAGTGTAAATTTTTTTATTAGAATATTATGATTAATGTAATGTCCAGCTCTGTACATTTGAGTATGCGATTGAACAGACGGAGAGATCCCCTGTGAATGAAGCCGGAGAAAATACAATATTATGCGAAAAGATTTTCTGGTAAGCACTTTCATTGTATCACATAATTCCTCATTATTTATATCATAGATTTATTAAACACCCTGTAAACTATTTTTCAACTCTCCCCACCCAGAAAAATCCCAATACAATGAGTAAATTCGAATATTCTTTAGTGCTCTGTAATTGCATCCACAATAAATTTAGACTGCTGTGCAAAAAATTATTTTCCATTTCGTTTGACGAGAAAATTTTGGGTTTAGATTTATCTCAATATTTTATTCATCAATAAACATTCGTACAATTATGAACAACGCAAATGAATCTGAGGCACACAAGAGGCATTCTGTTCACTATCGAAATACTCGATTTTTTCGATCTTCCTCCATAAATGAAACTCTTCTCGAATTATTATTCTATATTCTTCAGCTCGACCGCATATAATTTTGATTTTTGGATTTTCTGATGTGGAGTTTCTACTTTTTCCTCTGCTCGGGAGTGTAAATGTCATTAGTGTGTCCTGTTCCTTTAGCATCTCCCAGCCATGGATATTTATTAGGACATTCTGTACACGTCTCCATATACCTAAAGAAGAAAACAAAATTAATGGATAATGAAAATAATTATGCACCTGAGTAATGGATAAGAGAAAGAACTAAATTGTCGATAAACAATATAAAATAATCAATCATAATCCTCACTAAGAAATATGTAGCCAGAACTGTTGAATTAACCCACGGATTTATTATGTTTGTGTTCGAAATCAGTAAAAATATGACGGAAATTATTGAGTATTACCTGGTGGTGGTGAAATTGGCATCAGCAGGTTTGAAATCAAGAGCACATTTGTTAGCATTATTGCAAGGTGGTCCGGGAATATTTTCCTTTTGTTGGCATGCCCATCCTTCGTAATTATTCAAAGCCTTCAGAGGTTTAGGATCTGTCATCCATGTCAGAGCTTGGGTTGCAGTTACAAAATACACATCATCTCTGAAAGCGAAAATTCAGACTTTAAACCCATCAATTTTATCGCCTTATTTATAACTGCTCGATTTTCTGTTACAAATCCTTGAAATGAATATTAAAATTCTACAGGATTTTCAGGAAGAACGGTGGACTACATATTTGGGTGAACAATAATTATTTCTGGATGTCCCTCTCATTTTTTGTACAGTGTAATTACTCACAAGGTAAGAGCCCAATCAAGGAATTTTCCAAGTCCCCTTTCCAACTCTTTAATCTGAAACCAATTGGTGTGGAAGGGCATCATGTAAGGGGCTCGATTCTGCTCGTAATATCTGCTGAAGTCCTCCTTGAGCCACTCAAACACCTCCTCAGGGTCATGATTGTGAAGAACGCATTGGTCCAGATAGGGACAGTGCCCTCCCTCATAACTCTCGACGTAATGTGCATTCAGGGGGAGCTCCCAAACTCCTGGGAAGGATTTGGTGGGACAAGTGCCAGCTTTGCACTCGTGGGGGATTTTGTAATCAAGTGTGTAGGGCCAGATGGGAATTTTCAACGGGGATATGCCGACTGAGCTATCGTAAATGTATGAAAAGTCCTCAATCACTTTGTACTGGGTATTTCTTCCTGGCTTTAGATAAGGGGCACGCATTCCTGAGACTTCACTCGTGCTTATGTTAGAGAAACGCTTCAGAATTTCACGCATTCCTATCATTTCTCCTACCCATTCCTCGTAGCCTTTGTCTTCCAGACCTTTCTGTAATCTGAACCATGAGAAGAACAATTATTTTTCAATAAGACCTCTTTGTTCATGGATTTCTTCCTATAATTACTAATGAAAATATAATATTTAATTCATCTGAAATACAGGTTATTATAAATTGAACGAATTATCAGTCATTCAATTTGTTAATTAGGTATACCAAACTCTGAATAGTGAACATGAAATAAAAATTAATGGAATTATTATTTCACCGTCTCATTAAATATCGATTGCTCTTGAAAACTGTCAATTTTGGGATGAAACCTGAAAAATTATTTACTGTTTTTATCTGAAATCAATAGGTTTCGAGATAAATCGATAGATAAGAGAGGAAAAATTTTATTCAATAACACAGATAGATGCTAAAAGTGATAACAATTTTTTTATTAAAATCCATAATTATGTCAAAGAATAATTGAATTGAATTTCTTCAATGCTCGCGAAGTTAAATAATCAAAGAATCAGACGAATGAATTTTTTAAATAAAATAAAACTTACGATATGGTTTCTGTTGCGATCTCATGGCCATCATGAGCAAAACTCTGCACCATGTTGTAATTACAATATTCATGAGAGATGAAGAATGTACCTTTCAATGGGCAATTGTTAGGATTCAGTCGATCCTTGTTAAAGATTTTTTGATAATGATCGAAGTTGTTGTGATTTATCGCTCCATCAAAGGTCAGGAGAATCATCTGGGGTGTCTGCAGTGATGATAAAAATTCATTTGAATTAACAAGCAATTTTCCAATTGATGAATATGCATACCTTGGGAATCGGCACAGAATTAAGGACAAAATATGAATTGAACGCGAGAAATTATGAAGTAATCGAGTAAGATAACTCACGTCTTGAGGGTGAAGTCCTCCTGGGATTATAGTACCATCACGTGAGCAGAAACAATAAGGCAAATCACAATTTGCTGTGTCACAGCGTTTTGCTAGATCTGCTGGAGATTCTGTTGCTGGTGCTTCAGCTGAAATTAATTAACAATACTATGAGCATATATTTACATTTACATTTACAATACTATGATTTTTCACTGAGATTAATTTTTAGTTGATATTATATGATATAATATATTAAAAATTATTTATATATATTCATTTACAAATTTATTATATTCATCATATTTCCATTGTCCTTATTAATTTTTATAATTAATGGGAAGTGTGGAGAAAATCAACACGCAAAAACTTGGAAAAAATACATTTTTTTGTTACTCAAGATCTCTTGTACTTACTCGTTGGTATTGGCCCACATCGTGCTTCATTTTTAAATGTACAGAATTTACTGATGTCGTCGAAATGAAGTCCTGAGGGGCATCTGTTCAGGTAAGGATATCCGTCGACACACTGGAAAGAGAACAAAAAGATTCCGTGTAATAAGAGTAGAGCAGAATTTTCTTTTTCAACCTTTTCATTCAAAACTGACGATTTTTCTGAAGATTTTTCCAATTCAATACAATTTATGAAATTAAGGACTACATAAACCGGACGTAATCTTTACTTTTAATATTACCTTGTTAGTGTAAAATATTTATAAATCTGAGTGTCAAATTGTATTGTTGAAAATTCCAATGGTTATAAAAAATAATCATGAACAAGAGGAAAAATTTTTGAGGGGTGGCAGATCGAGATATTTATTCTAAGGAATTCTTCAAGTTCACAGAAAACTAATGAAAAAACACGGTGTAACATTGCTAACATTTGACAGTGCATTTTCATTCTATATTGTTAAAGTTTTATGAATTTTTTAAAAGTTCGGAAAAAACACTGATAAATTATCACACGATCATGGCATTTTGTGAGTCATTAAATAATTGTTGATATATTTTTTCACGTCGATTCAATCAACAATTTGCTCAAAAAAACATAAAAAAAACGATAATTTTTATGAATGTTTACTATATATTCATATTTACATTTACGATAAATATTTATCTCTTTCCCCATATTTCCCGAATTAACTTAAAAGCTACTAAAGCCTAAAATTGAAACTTCGAAAGTTCATCCATAAAAATGACGATATAAATTATTAGTATGAGAATAATTTACCTGGTAAAATCTTCTGCACGTGGCAGGATCAGCGAAATTGCCATTACCCTGTCCCTCTGGGCACTTGAATTCCTCCTCTTTCTTCTCATCCTCCTTCTTCTTCTGTCCATTAACTGGAAAATAAATCATATACATCAGGAAATCAAAATTAAATGCCAACAGCAGTGTGAAATGTCAAGGGCACTTTTTCTCGAGATAGATCGACTGCAACATAAACCGGATTATGTAAAACCCCTTTCTATTAAATATTACAAATCCACGCAGTCAATTAAAAGTATTTTATTTATAAATTTAGTTGACTCATCGGCTTTGATTCATTATCTGTCATTAACCCCATGTAGTTTAATGTATATGCATTTTTTGCAGTGACACAAATTAATACTAATGCAAAAAATATATTAAATATTATTATAATATAACGAGTGGACAGTCACCGAATAATATTAAGCCATCTTTTTTGTTCTTACGATATTTTCTGAGTTTTTACGTGGCATATATAATTATCATAATTTTATAGTTAAGGTTGTTGTCGTGCAGAATTTTTTTTCGACAGTTTTCGTTTAAACCTTTATGGTGAATAGGTTGAAAAAATAGCTCCAAAATGAGCCCTTTCCGTTTGCAGTTGACCGTTTTGAACTTGAGATATAAATTTTTGAAATTCGAGTGATTTAACACGTGTTTAAATGGAGTTTCACCGATTAGAATTTTTTTTAAATCAACGGCTCGACCGTTTGAGAAATAAAAAAAAACGTGGAATACACATCGTGGGAGGAAATGCAGAACAAAAAATCAAATCGATTGACCGTTTGGTTTACGCAATATAATTATTGAAAATTCATAAATTTATATAATTTAAAATAGTTAAAATGGAAAATATATAGTTATGCTTTAACTATTCATGCACAATGCAATCAATCAAGTGAGACTATATACCGTCAAAAGATTGTGTTCTAAACTGGCCCGTTTTACAGCGAATAAACTTTTTATAGAGACTGTCGCGCGACAACAACCTTAAATAAACAAAAGATTTTTCTTGTAATTGATTCACTGAGTGGAATTCCACGTTTTTGTCTCATTTTGAGACAATTCTTCCAATTTCTAATTTCCAAATTTTCAAATGTTCTCGCGATGCTGAGCAATGAACAAGTCCTAATTTACCTCTGTACCAAAGAATTTCTACAAATAACTGAATTTCAAGTGTGGGAGTATGAGAACTCAGTGTGAGACTGATAAAAGTATGAGAGAGAAATTCATGGGGCTACCAGCCAGAAAAGACTCTTGAGAAAGCGTGAAACGTTGTTCTGAGCATTCCAATGGACGTTTAACTGCGTTTTAACTGAGAAAGAGACAGCCCAATAAGTCTCCCTTTTTTTTAAACGCCAGAGGCGAATGTATTGACGACTGATTGACATTTCTTCCATGCAACGACTCATTTATATCTGTCCTGGGGTTTCTTTTATCAGTCGAGAATTTTCTCATGCGTAAAATAGCACAATGTGGAGAGGAATTTTCTTCAGGCCTCAGTAGATCCAGACAGGAAATAATGCAATGATAAATATCAAAGAACATCTGTGGGTATCATTGACATCATTTTTAAGAGAATGAAAACGTCCCAAAACATCCCTAAGCTATTAAAATCTATCAGGTATTGTATCCATTATTTATTTAATTCAGTGATTATTTCAGGGAATCTATTGTTTACAGGAAATATTTAGATGATGATCTGGTTTAATTAATTGTCGAATATTAAGAATATTATCAATATTTTCATATTTGTACAGGTAAATGTCGAAATCCAAAATTGAATGTTCATTACTATTTTTTTATTTTAGAAACACGATATATATATTTTTCCAACAATTATAATTTTCAACTGATATTACAGCGAAATAGTCGCAATTAAAGTAAATTGTTTTGAATAAAGAAAAATGTTATTACATAGTATCTTATTTATTTATTGTGGTTGGTAAAAATTGGAATTAAAGGGGGAATAGAAGATATTTTAGTATAACAATTATTAGAATTGGGATTTTTCTTTCTACGATGTTGAGAATAATTAACGAGGAGGATTTAGTCAAATGGACAATGAGTGAGGGGTTTTTCTTGATGCAAAGTGCCGGAAGAGTGGAAAGTGAAGGTGCATGTGTGGCAATGGACGTTGGGGCCACGTATTTTCTTGGAGGGCAGTAACATTCTCATTGCCACATGTGATATACTTATTCGCAGGTTGTGTCAATTATATTATATTGTTAGATATTTGGTTGATTTTGGAACATTGGCAACTCAATTTTCAATCCTGGTTTAATTAAAATACTTCAAAACTCAATAATCAATCAATGCATCATGAATTTTGAAGACATCAAAAACGTTAAATCGCATAATTGAAAATTGGAGAAGTCAGAAAATTAAGTACCTGAATTTCCACAATTTTCATTGATTTTCATTGTTCTAATATCGAGAGAAATTATCTCATTGTTTAGAACTGCGGATGAATATTAATTTAGGGCTAAAGGAAATTTTAATTTTTTGGTTCGGTATATTAATTAGGTACAGAAAAATTGCATCCGTTAATTTCATTAAAAAATTATTGGATTTTGATTTTCCCATCGGATAAAAATAATTTGACTACCACAAGATCAACTGAACATTTTAATCATTAATTTCCATTTTTAGATTAACTATTTTCCAATATCCTCTCCCACTTTTTCATTTAGAAGAAACACTTATCAAGATTTTCTCCTAAGCTCAACAAGCTCGATGAGGAATTACCGAAAAAAATTATCCAACGAGCTGAATGACAATTATTATACAAATTTAAAATAAAATTTCTAATGTAATCTCACGTCATTTCCTCAAACCACAGAGAGAAAAAAAAATCAGCCAACTGAATATACTCGCACAAATAATTGTGTCGATATTAGCATTTCAAATACGTTGATTTTCTTGCAGTTAAATTTTCTTGGAAGAGGTAATTTTTTTCATAGCACCCATAGCTAAAATATTTCAACATTCGCCGTTCACAAAATTATGTAAAGTACTTAAATAATCACTGCAGGCATCCCCCCATTTTATCAAATCTCCATTAACTCGAAATCTTCAAGAAAGTTCGCATTACGTTTCATCACGCGGCACCGGCGCTAATTACATGGATAAAGTATCGTCGAATGCCCCCGGAAAATGGTACAAAATGACTGAAACCCAGAAGAAAAAAAAAAGGTAAGAATTCATACGTAACAGTTATTTTCACTCAGCATTCATCTGTAATTTTTCTTTCAATTTTTCTCTTCCAGCCCTAAATCAAGTGACTAATGAGCAGAAGAAATATTTCTCACCTGTGATAACCGCGACGACAGCTATAAGGAGAGTCACTCTATAAAATCCCATAATTAGAGTTTTTATTGTTCCTCTGTACGAGTTATGGAGCACTTGTCCTCGCACTGGGAACACAGCAGGATGGATCACTCCAGAAAGCTATCATCCGCACTTGAGGCACAAATTTCACAGTAAAAAGATAATTGAGGACTTTTTGGAATTTGGATGGAGAGATTTTTGAATGTTTGGAATCTCTGCTCTCGATGCTCGTGACAAGACAGGGAAGGCAACTTCTTTACTCTTTAACGGATGGTAGGACACAAAACGCTCCACCTCCAGTCCGATCTGCCCATTGGCCAGGACTTTACTTTCTATCCCAACTCCATTTACACCTTGTCGAGGTAATGTGATGTGAAATGTTGTCCAATGAAATTATGCATTTTATTTCAGGCTTTCGAGGACTTTTCCAAATTTAGCATTTCTTTCTTTTCTTTTGAAGGAAGTTTTTTCAAAATCATTTTCAAGGGATTATTCTAATTCTGTAATTTATCTTTTAACTGAGAAAATTCAATTGATTATCAATGAACTAGTTGATAAGATGTTAAATAGCATTATGGATTTTATTTCGCTTTGCAAAATTTGGAGCGTTTTTTCAATATTCTAAGTCTTCATGTGAGATTTATTTTCAACCATTTGAACGATGTAAAATCCATTTTTTACTCAAAAATTAATTTTCGAAGTATATTTCTTGAATTTATCTTAAAATCGTGAGAATTGTACGTTCCAGCAATTTTATTCCTTTTAAAAAAATTGTCTTGACTCTGGAATCCTCCTGTTTTCAATTATGAAATTTAATTATTCTCTTTAATCAAATAATAAAGATTACGCAATATATCAATTATCACTCAAAATTTAAACATTACAATAAACTTCACTCGATTTTCAACCAACTGCCAACAATTTCCTGTTCAATTGGTCAACTCCGTCTACGAAAAACATCAAATTCATTAGAAAGTTGAAATAAATGATTCAGAAGTCTCCAACAAAAAGGCAAAATAAAGTAAAATTGAGGTCAATGTCGGGATGATCCACGATGGAATATCCATGAAGTGAAAGTATTCGAAAAGCTCTGGATATTCTCCAATACATACGAAACCATTCGATGCATTTTTCACCTTCAACCGACACCTAAAGATACTAGGTTCCTAAAATCCAATGGGTCAATCCCCCTAAACCTTCCCCCTTTTCTCGATCTTTTGTATATTTATTCACCTTCGTTGTCCTCGAGGAGAAAACCGGCTTGAACGATTCACATTGGATCGTCTTCTCACGTACTTCACGACCAGTTTTCGTTGTTTAGTCAGATTTCTCTTATTTTTAGACTCCGAATATTTTATACCTTCACCATATCATTTCTTCAAATGTCCCTCGACCTGAGAACTCTCAATGTTTTTTTTTTTTTGAGAATCCAACTTGATCGTCAATCAATCGTACAATTACTAAATACGTAATTTATCTATTTATCCTTGTTTAAACATAGACAAGCGGGATATTGTTTATGATATCATATTAAAAAAGTTATTTGAAAATTTACAGAGACGACTAGTTTTTTGCTAAAAAAATTTATTTATTGCTAAAAGAATTTATTTATTCTATTATTTATTCGAATTCTTTCTGTTTTTGAATATTTTAATAAAGATTGTTTGAGATGGTCAATTGAATTTGTGAGTTAAACTCATTCTAGCCAACCTTAAGCCAACATTCGGCCAACATTGATCCGATGTCACACCGACATTACACCGACATCGGCGCTGTGGCGAATTTCCAAAGAATGAAATTCGTTTTATGAAGTAATCGTTCCGTTGTTCCAAATCAGTTAAGAGAATACTGAATCGAATCGTTTAGGTCTTGCTGAATGAAATTGAAAAATTATTTTCATCGCGATGTACCGTGAAGTAACTAAAAAGTGACTTTCACGCAACTCGCCTTCGGCTCGTGCTATATACCTCCCACACCCCAAAAAATACTTTTCCACACTTGTTGCGAAATATACTATTCTTAAGGAATCGCGAAATATTTTTTCGTTACATACATACATACTCACGGACACGTTGTCAAAAGATGTACTTTTCAATTGCCTAATTTGAAAAGTACATCTTTTCACAACATGTCCGTGAGTATGTATGTAACCACAAAAATGAAAATTCGTTGTCCTGCTCCGAAAAATGTGAAATTTCACGTATAAAAATTAAGGCTCGGGTGGATTATCTAGAAAAGATAATTTACTCCGAAATTCGGATTCCTAATTACTTTGGCAATTAATCGTTTTTTTCAATAATTGTTAGCTAGCGTTCTAGCGATTGTCAACAACTAGGCCGCTAGCTAACAATTATTGGAAAAAACGATTAATTGACGGAGTAATTAGAAGTCCCAATTTTGGAGTAAATTATCTTTTCCAGACAGTTCATCCGGGCCTTAATACGCCTGAACTAAAGAGTTATATCTAAAGCTCAAGATCACTCATCAAAACAGGACGAATTCTCTCACAAAATGCAAAAAATTAATCGCTCCGCATTATCAAAGAAAGAAAGGAAAAATATTTTGAAAAATGTGTCGTGTCTCTAATATTTTCCATAATTTGTCTATATTCTGGGAATGAATCAAAATCGAATTCAGCGGATTTATTGTATTTGACAAACTACACAAAAATGAAGAGGAAACGACGAAATAAATGATTACGAAATTGAATAATAAGGAGGTAATTACGGAATATATGTAGTGGGAACTCTATACACTGAAAAATAATATTTATTGAATTTATTTGGGTGTTATAATTTTACAAATCGACACGAACCATTTGAGGCCCAGTTTTTCGTTTCTTTCTCTCCTTTTTCTTCCTCTCCGAAGTTTTATCTCCGGAATCTCCTTGATTTTCTGAAGAGTACGGATTCACGTAGTTGGGAAGTCTCTGCGTTATATTGAGCTCCTGAAATGCTAGATCGAGCATTCCTCCTGTTGCCTCATCAAGAAGAAATCGTGTTTCGTTGGCAAAGTTCAACGACCACTGCATTTGGTTTTTCCAATGGCTGTTCTTCTTCAATATTCTGTGCGTTATGTCAGGGACCTGAAGAACTATGTCCCCGAAGAATGCTGTGTTCTCGAGAACTGAAGACAAACCTAGATAATCAACAGAGTAATATATTTTTTTGTACCCCTAGTCCATTGAATTATTTGCCTGTAATTCAATCTAATCTACTGTTCTAGTTTACTGTTTGTTAATCAAAAAATTCAATATTAGACATTTTTTTTCCTAAATTCCCATTTGCTCTTTACTATTTTGGATCACATATTCTACGCGTATTTCCATGAAAATTAAATATATGAGTATTTGTGAGGATAACAAAGATTATTATGGATTTTACTTAAGGAGAATTATTATTTTTTGATCGTAGCACACAAAATTGGACGGATTATCATGGATAGTCTGTTGATGGAATCGGAGGAATTCGGAAACTCAGACTCAAATACATAGAGCTCATTGAGACCTTTCAATTGATATATAATATATTTCCATAAATTAGATCGAATACTGAATTAATTACCCACAAACGGGAATTTTAGAAAGTTATATAACAGTAGAAAATTAAAATAAGCAAATAAATCAGATGTAACTAAGGTAATTTTGAAGACCTTGAACTGTTCTATAAAATTATATATTAATATTCCTATTCTTTTGCTATGGAAATGAATGAAAGAAAAAGTAAACCAAATGGTGGAGATTTAGCTAAAACATGGAAATGCCATTTTTACGTTCAAAACGTCATAACTCCATGAAAAAATTGTGGGAATTACACAAATCCAAAATTTTTTGAAAGCTTATTTAATTAGCTTTAAAATGAGCACACAGGATAATGACTCAATACGAAAGAGAGAAATTGATCTCAACCGAAGAAAACGAGAGTGTTCACGGATCATTTGTTGGTAGACTTATCAACTCGAAACATTTACACTTAAATAAGAAAATGCATGGCGAAGTCGTAAAGAGTAACAAGTTGACTCAACTCATAACCGATTTTCTGAGAAATATTTCTAAATCTAACAGAGATCGGAAAATTTTTCTGATTATCTTATTGTTTGGAGTCATTAAATTCAGATTTTCTTCTTTCTTAAAATGTATGCACATTTTTCGCATTCATGACATCGTAAAGTATTAATTATTCGAATTCGGTATGATTTTTGGTCTCATGATAACAAAGGTTGGGATCGAATCTGAGCGAAAGTAGATAATTAGTTTCGGACCATTACGTATTCCACTTTTTATACGAAACTTTTTACACTCATTTGTCAAAAATAATTGTTTGGTTTATTTTTCGTCCCTATACCGTCTTCAAAGACCTTTTACAAAAAATGTTGATATTTTTCTTAACTTCAAAGATATTTCTCTCAAATCCTGTCTAGAAAACAAATCAACTCGTTACCTTCTAGTCCTCCACTGCTGAAAGTAAATTCTATTATCAAATTAATGAATGAATAATGAATATTAATGATTATTAATTACAACAATTATCAGTAATTTTTTTTCATAAAAATTTCATATAAATTAGAAATTTCTATTGATTGATTGATTAATTGATTTATTTATTGAGAGAGAGAGAGATAGAGAGTGAGAGAGTACTTAGGCGGATATTTTGAAAAAATAAATGAGAACTGGAGAAAAAATGTCTAGGCTAAATTCCAGTACCGGAGGAATTCCTCACCGTCTCTTAGCTCGTCAGGTACATATGATAGCGTTCGGTTCTCCTTCAATCCATCCTTGATCTCCTCGAGAGAATTTTTCTTCGCTTCAATTATTTCAATGACGTTTTTTATTATAATTGATATCATATCGTATTTTCGTTCATAAGAATCCAGATTCCTGAGGTTTTTTACTGCACTCAAATGCTGTTTCCTTTTCGTGATGAATAGTTTTTTGACTGACGTTCAATGTCAACAAAATATATTAAATATTTCAACATAATAATAATAATGTTATAAATATATTAAATATTTCAAAATAATAACAATAATGTAATATATTATTAGTTATATTTGATATATTATACATAAGTTATGTGTTACTACTAGTATTACCATTATATATTGTTGATGTGTTAGACATGTAACGTAATGTTATTGTCGTTTGCACTCAAACAATGTAATTTAATGGAGAAGGTGAACGGAGCAGGCACAATGTAAAAGCTCTAGAGGATGCACATCCTGAATAAATTATTTTAATTATTGGATTTTATAGGGAAATGCAAATTTAAATTACTGCAGTAGCAATTAAGACTGTTGAATGTCTTCCTCGGATCACAAAATGTTAAGGTTGAAGAACGGAACTTTTGGCGGGCACCTGTTTTACCCCAGGTATCCCAGCAACCATTATAGCAATCCAATTTATAAATAATCTATTACATCAATATTGTTAAACATTATCTCCTATTGGTGATCTACTTTGACTCAAAATGGTGAAATGAATACTGAGATATTATTAAAATATCGACCAAAAAATTATTCAATTTTTACTCTTCAGTTTTTTTTTTATTATCAAGGTAATCGATTCCTCCCGGTAATTGGCCAAATATTACTCGAATTCACTTGAAAAAGGATACAGACTTCATCATACGATTTAAATTTTTCAGTGACTTCCGGCTGTTGAATGGTCTCAGCTGATTGGCCGTCATGTGCCGGTTCCAGCGCATATGCAGAAAACCAAGTTGACACGAGTGCAAGTAAAACCAGCTGGTGTCGTGTAAACATTACTGTGTAACTCGAAGATCCAACAATCGCCTCAAAAAAAATCATTAGTTTCTCCACTTCTTCAACACTAAACAACTACGAATCCTCGTCAATATAAATTTAAAACTACACGCTAATTTATTGGGGAATTAAATCTCGGGGGGAATATTTTCACATATTTAACCTACGCCATATTGAAATCACTGCCACCTGGATGATTTCCATTTATACGATGGAACTGTCAAAATGACGATGATAATTCGCTCTGAAAATCGTCGAGAACTACCGAAAACCCGATACAGTCGACGTACTTCTACCAATATTTTACACATGTCCCCCAGTAGTTTCTCGAGACAATCTCGTAATTAGTTGATGATTGTTTATTAATTGTGCAGACCGCCGTACAAGAAAGTGCAAGTGAATGCGAGGATTTTTCACTGATTTTTTTCTGTGAATATTCTATAATTTTTTGGAGAAAAGCGGACCAGTTTTGAATTTTGTTTATTTGTTTGTTTATTAATTATTGTAGAGGAATAATTTTGACACATGGATCCAACGTCCTCAAGTGCTCCACCTCTGCAAGAGGCTAAATTAGATGTGAGCATGAGTTAACCTATCAAATTAATGCAAAAGTGTCAGAAAAAAATTAAATCTCAGGATTCACAGAGAATCCAGTAAAATTCCAGAATTTTAAAAGATGATAATAAAATCAAAAATTCCAATTAATTTACTGATATGATAGACGATTCAACGAATGATAACTATTTGAATTTCCAAACATGAATTATCGCTGTGAAATTTCATTGAACTTTCCCAAAAATCTGAAATATCCTGGTGTGTTTTTCCAAAATTAAAGATAGTGCATTTTAAAATCATGTTTTTGTTATGCAGATGTATGATGACGCCATTTATAACGTGGACCCCCAGCACGTTGAGGGAGATATGACTGTGGGGAGCTCTAGGCAAAGAGCGAATATTGGAGAGCCTCAATTCAACACCTTGGATGAACCAATTAGTGAAACTATTGTAAGATCTTTCATTCAATTGTTGTTGACAATAAATAATCAATTCTCATGGGTTTTACAGCTCAGGGATGTTCGAGCTGTTGGACACAAATTTTTCCATGTGATATATCCGAAGGAAAAAGGGAGTTTGCTGAAAGAATGTAAGAGTTTAGACATTTCTTGCAGTTGTGTTTGACAATCTCTCACGTCAATAAAATGATTTTTACTTTTTTCAGGGGATCTTTGGGGGCCTTTGGTGCTCTGTACCTTCATGGCAATGTAAGAGCAAAAACTGTTCACATATATATAATTTCAATGATTATAAATATTATGTTTGTTTTGATAATGCGATGAATATTTTTAGAAATCCAATTTTTAATTGTTTCAATGATTTTCATTTTTATTTTGCTTACCGTTTTCTGTACCTAGGATCCTTCAAGGATCCGATTATCGTGATGACGTTAATGATGGCGGTCCCCAGTTCGCCGAGGTTTTTGTTCTCGTGTGGATTGGCTCCATGATTGTAACTCTTAACTCTAAACTACTAGGAGGAAATATGTAAGTGACAAAGACTATTGATTTTTTTAAATTCTTGTCATAAGTTCCGTACAAATTCTTCAAATTTGTTAAGAAAATCCTATAACACTTGATCAAGTACCCTTATATTTAAAGATCTTCAACAAAAACTCAATGAATTCTTCGCAGTTATAACTCCGAATAAAGGTAATAAAATATTTCAGCAGTGAATAGATAATGCGAGATAATTTAAGTCTAACAATTTTCTTAAATGTCGACTAATCTGAAAATCCATTGATGTCATGAAGAAAGATCGAAACACCTTTTTTCTCGGAAACTTAATGAATTACAAAAGAAGTCCTTCGAATTTCTACCTGGAATTGTTCGTTTTTTAGATTAATTGACAATAAAAAAATGACGAATAAAAATTATTTCATTTTATCAGTTCGCTACGGATTTGCTCCCCTCATTTCCTGGAACTCTCGTGTTCCCTATGAGAATTATAAATATTCATCAACTTGCTGTGACAAATTGAAATAAATACGGAATTTTATTATTGGAATAATTGATCATTTTTCAATTTTTCCGTTTCAGATCATTCTTCCAAAGTGTCTGTGTGCTTGGCTACTGCCTCCTACCAATCGCAATTGCGTTAATTGTATGCAGGATTATCCTGATGATGGAGCAAAACTCTTACCTATTCTTCCTGCGATTTGTCGTCACAATCATCGGATTTGCCTGGGCAACTTATGGTAATTATTTCTAATGATAAAATATAAAAAATCTGTTATTGAATATTTATTATTTTCTCAGCTTCAATGGCGTTCCTGGGAGAGAGTCAGCCAGCTGGCAGAAAAGTCCTGGCAGTCTACCCAATTTTCCTCTTCTACTTCGTCATCTCGTGGCTCGTAATATCCCACACGGCATGAAAGTCATAACAAAAGCCCCTAAACTATAAACATAACTTGAAAATTGCACAATTCCGAGTGAAAAACCACAAATCTAAAGACTTTTCCATGGATATGCTATTTATTTCTAGCAAAAAAATCAACTGGAGATGATTATTTTCTTCTTATCGACGAGGACATTATTCATCAAACTAAAAAAAGAGCATTCCACTATTCATCAATTAATTTCATTTGTGCTAGACATTTTCCGAATTTTTCGTATGTCAGTGGTGAATATTTTCACAGGTCCTCACATTCTCAGTGAATAATAAATAAAAATAAATGAATAAAATTATCGTCTGTTGAATGATAACAATCATGTAATTTATGAATTTTGCTATGAATTCATCAACCTCGATGATTTTCCTTCTCATTTTTAACAAAATGAGAATACTCATTTTTTTTTCATTCACTCCAGTTATTGGACTAGGAGAATGGATTCGTCTGGATAACTGAATTTTTACTGAATTTACGATCGTATTTGATGTTTGTATTCATGTACATTGTATATAATAATTATAATTATGTATTATAATAAGGGTATTGATTACATATTAGATACGAATAAATTAAGAATGAAAGAAGTGTCTCTCTAATTTTTTGAAGAGTACTTTACTGTCGCAGTGACTGGGGTAGGCGTATAGTGACTTTTGGACTGCGATGTAACTCGTTTGTAAATCTCCAACCTAATTACCAATAATTACAAATTCAATTCAATTCATTCAAATAATGATTCTTGTGTTGTATTGTTGAATTCTTTTTTTTTTTTTTCTTTTTTTCTTATGATTTTTTTCTAACTATTTTTTTATTGTTGATGGGTTATAAAGAATGATGGACATACCTCATAGGCAAGAAGGGAACTATTGAAATGTGGCTCATGCATATAAGAGGCTATACTGGCAGCAGCGTGGAAATAAGTTCTCGCAGCTGTGACATTTCCTTTTTTCATCTCAAGAACTCCCAGATTATTATAGGAATTGGCATGGCGGTTGTCAATCTTCGTCGCCAGTCTCAAGCACTCCTCAGCCATTATCAGGTCCCCCAGGCACTAAACAGGTGCAATCCCATCATTTCAGTAACTAATTAATGAGCGGAATGGTAAATCGATTCACATCGATTTTAATAATTGCTCAATATCGAATGAAAATCTCGAAATCCACGGGAGATTGTGAAAACCATGTCGGAACCTTTTTTGTAGAGCGCATTAAGATCTACGAAAAAGTCCTTGTCAAAAATTTCACTATCTCTTTTAGTTTCATGAAATTTCAATGATGTTTCCTGAAACTCTCCGCAGAATTAGTTATAGCGCATTAATCGATTGTCTCCCTTTAGTCAAGTTAATCTCTAATTAATAACATCATATTCAATTAAAATGGGAACAGTACTGATTATTTCGATGTTCAAATAATTTGTTAAACCATTTACTCATTAAGTTAATTTTACAGATCAAAGCTAGAAAATTTAATAGTCTCCCGAATTATATCGAGTGTGTACACTCAAATAACTTACAATGGCAATATGAGATATATTATACCAAACTTCAGCGATATTCTCGTCGTTGGAGAGGCTAAGGGCTCTCTCGAAGCAAGAAATCGTGTGATCATATTGCTGTGAGTAGAAACAACAAAGTCCCAGATTGTTTAATAGTTCTGCATTGTAAACACCCATTTGTAAAAGTCTCCTACAATTATCATTAGCATCAATACGTCTCTTCATTTTACAAATTAATAGGATGAATTTTATCATTTTTAGAAAATATTCTACACACCTGTAATATCTAAGAGCCAATTCCGGTTGATCATTATAAAAATGATGCATGCCAATGCTAGCAATGGCTTCAGTATTAGCAGCATCTTCCTGGGCCACCAATTTATAATATTTCACCGACATTATCATGCTGTTGAGACCTTCAAAGACTCTAGCCATTTCAGTCAAAATTGTTACCTTGAGAAAATTAATAGGGATTCAATTCAATTCAATTCAATTCAATTCAATACTCGAATCCAATTCATTTAACTAGATTATCAACTATGCATTTAGCTTATATCATTTATATTTTTTATATATATTTTTGCAGCAGAGATACGATTCCAGATATTTTTTTTTAGAAATAGATTAGGGATTGATCTCACATCATTGGGATAATATTCAAGTCCCCTTTTGCACAATTCCAGAGCTGCCAGGGGCTGGTCCAGCCTCACATACACTCTGATAAGTCGTAACATTATTTCGATACTTCTGCAATCTTTCAATGCTGACTTGAATTGTTGCTCGGCATCTCTGACAAGTCCCAATGTGTAATAACACTTTCCCAATTGAACTTTCCACCACCAGTCAGTAAAATGACAGGCCTGAGTTGCTTGCACCGCTAAATCCAGGGCCTAGACAGGAAATAAGAATCTTTTATTGAAATAAGTAGTGCAGGTCTCGAGAATTTATTGGCATTAAGTCGTTTCAAGCAAACCATCGGTTAAAAACTATACCAAAAAACAATTGTTTCATTATAAAATGATTCTCAGGGCTGTTAGTACTGGAGAATTGGATGCTGATAGAGTTATTTGTTCTTGTTACATGGTAGTACAATTTTTTTCGGGAAGTCTATGAGATTTTACTTACACTCCTAGCATCGTGTTCGTGGTAATAAATATATTCGAACAGAGGCTTGGCAATCCCAGGCTTGCTCGCGTATTTACTGATATTTAATCTGGAGAGTTGGATGAAGGGACCGTCTGGTTCGGACACCATTGAAGCTGTTCCCAATCTAGTTAAATTCATTCATAAAAAATTAATTACAAGTCCTTGGAGGCAAAATCATAAGGGGAATGTAACATGAATTGCAAGGGGAATGCAACAGAAACCATATTCCTGCAGTTCTGAAATATTTGGTAAGAACTGATCTAGAAAAAAATGCACTCCTCATAGATTACCATAGAATTTGAAAAGGATTCGTTTAATAGTCTGTATAGTAAATCATTTTTTTTACCTAACAGCTCTTCCAGAAGCTGTGGTGATGGGTCGAGCAGACATGGCAGTTCTTGGAGTTCTCAGTGCTTGTTCCATAGTCTGGGCTGTTGCTGATTGGGTCATTGGACGAACTGTTCCAGTTACTGGTCTTCCTAAAAGATTCGAAATCCGGCCATCAAAATCATTTCATGAATGTTTTCAAAATTAAAAAAACAGCAAAAATATTTCTGAATTTCAAACAGGCAGTGAAATGTGTGTGTAGGCTTTTTCTGTAGCTGTTACTTCATTGGAAATTTGTGTAAAATCATTTCCAGTCAAGAGTTAAATAAAAATGCAAAATCTGCTGGCTTCCTCTCATTCAAATATCAAATAAAATCAGGGGCCAAAATGAATAAAATTTTTCAAAACTTCCAATACAAATTCCATAAGATTTCTAAAAAATTCTAATGGAATTTTTCAGTACGTGATGAGTAATTAAATTGGTATTAATGGATTAATTACCAGACTGGGTCTTGGGACGAAATCCCTGACCCACCATCGCTGTTCCGGGGTTCTTCAGAGAAGTTCCAGGTCTTGGCATCGAAGCAATCATGTAATTATCGAGTAAACTCTCAGCAATTCCCTCCTCCTCACTCTCAATGTCATCAACGTACAATTGCAGCGTTAAAGCTCGCATTTTCAGCACCCAAACGCTCTGAAAATATTTCTATTCGTTGACAGTTGTTCGAAAAAATTTGGAACTAAGGATTTCGATTTAAAGTAGATATTTCGAAATTGTACCTGGTCCAGGGGACTCTTTCGCAGAAGATTCGTACATATTTTCCCACATTCCTCGTACTTTCGTCGCCTGAATAAACTTATTGCTTGGAACAACTCCATTTGTACACACGAACAAAACTTGTGTTTCTGGTACACCTGTCCACCTGTCCACCTGTTCACCACCTCCACTATACTAAAATATCGATCTTTTCAGGGTTGCGTTACAAATTATTCAATGGAAACAAAATTAATGACTTTATTCTCTTTTGTTTACAAGAATTCCGATTAATTTATATAGTATTCCTTGAGCTTACCATGTTTTCTTATTAGAAGATTCTTCAAAATTCCTGAGAAGCGATGGATAAAATTTACTTGAAAAAATACACCCTCTTTAAGTTTTATGATTATTCAATGCCTCTTGAAGTTTCATCGCCGTGGAAGGATACTGTCTGATTAATTGTCCCGTGATTCTGACTTGTTTAATTATTTTGACACTTTTCTGAATGATTGGTTAATTGTAAATTTTCAGATTGATTTATCTGCAATTAATTTTCTAATTTGGCAAATATGGAAATTGGCGTGGATAAGTTTCTACTGGACCAACCGGAGACCAAGTCGGTTAATTTATTAAACAAAGAGGAAGTCGAGGAATTTCTGGAGGGGTGCATAAAATTTATGAGACGATTGTGTATCGCTTTTCAGCATTCAGAGAAAATTCCGTGAATTTTACGATAAGAAAAATGTCGAGGAGCAGTGCGACGTGAAAACATTATCAGAACTTCATGATGTTTACAAGGTATAATGACCAGAACTTCCAGAATTGTTGCAATTCTTAAACGAATTGATCG